CCACAGAACCTGAGCTGCCCGAGAGGCCCATGATGTCAACCAGGGGCTTGATGACCTGTACTGAGTCAGGGACAGAGGCACAGCCCCGGGACTTTTCGAGCCTGCAGCCATCCCTAGTGCGAGGCTTGGTGATGAGGAAGGAAGGTGCTCCCGGGGGAGGCCTCAGGCCCCCGAGGAGAGGAGAGACGGGAAGAGGAGGGCTGGCAGGGATGCCTGGAGCAGCAGGTGACAAAGGTCCAGGACCCCAGAGGCCAGGGCACAGCCTGCCGACTTACATTCTGGCCTCTGCCTGTTCCTTGGGGCTCTGGGGCTTCTTGTGTCGATCATGTCTGCGGGAGGTGAAGGACAGAACTGGGCATGCGCACGAGAGCCGCCACTGCGGGCACAGAGGACAGCCAGGCTGACTGAGCAGGACACTGCAGGTATGTCTGGTGCCCAGGGTGTGGGGAGCAAGAGTCCCGGCCCGGCTGCCGGTCAAGGGCCTGACGTGTGAGGGAGGAGCAGCAGGAAGACCCTGTCCAGACCAGTTTGTCCTATCGGGTCAGCCTGCAGGTGCCTGAAGCGCTGGGCTGCAGTTGTGGGCGTGCCCGGGAGCCTCTTCTCGCGTTTGTGCCTAGACAGAGCTGTCCGCCTGGCGTGGTCTGCAGAGAAGCCTCAGCATGCGGGGCAGAAGCGGCAGTGGGAGGGAGGTCAGGCTCTGCCCAGGGCGGGTCCAGCTGGGCACCTCCATCCGTCAGGACAGACTAGGCAGGCAGAGGGGGTGGACACTGTCACCTTCTGGGTCAGATACCCGAGGCAGGGTATGGGGAGCAACACGTGGGGTGCCCCTCTGCCGTGGCCTCCCGGGATTCCGGGAGGAAACAGACGCTGCCCCGGCAGGTGTCCTTGGAGCCCCCTGACTGTGCCTGGCCGTGATCTCGCCACAGCTCCGGGACTCACAGCTGCTTGCTTGTTTGCCTCTGGGCTCACGGGTCAAACCGGGCCCGCATGCTCAGGGCATGTCTGAGTCCCTGCACTCTGCACCCCTCCTCGGAATGCGGGCTTCTCCTCTGAGGGAGATTCTGCCACTGGTGCCCTGGGAGATTTGGGGGGGTGGGCTGCAGGATTCCGGGCTGGGGTAGGCAGCCCAGGGGCCCTGCCGCGTGCTGCTGTGAAGATACTGTGCACCCAACCCCAGCACCCTGAAGTGTGCCAGGCAGGCAGGGTTTGCTGCTCTCAGCAGACTCGGGGGGCACGGAAGGCTGAGAGGGGTTTGGGGGCATGAATGGGTGGCACCAGCTGCTTACAACACTGCAGTGGGGGCGGCTTTCTCTGGGAGGATCTGCTCAGGCCCCCGTGCCGGTGCTGTGTACCAGGTCCTCACCAGAGGAGGGTAGGAGTCCTCCCAGGGCCCCGGGGCTGAGGGGGTCTGGTGTGCCCTTCACTATAGAAGGTGCTGACCTCTGACCTCTCCTGTCCAGGCACCCACTCGTCTGTGATGCCCCATGGAGGGGTGCCCTGGGCCGGGAGGCCTCATCCCAAAGTCTCTGGGACAAGCAGGACACATGGGGGCGCCTCAGCTCTGACTCAGGTCAGGGGTCCCTGGGGAAGCGCCCAGACCCCACAGAGCTGCAGGCTGTTTGTGCTAGTGGGGGTTGTGGGTAAACCACCTTTCCCCCTGTAGCACCTGCGCCCCAAGAACTGGGGGCTTTGGAGTGTCCACTCCCTGGGCCTCGGGCATGTCCCTACGTGTGGCGGCACTGTGTGGACCTGCCTGTGTGTCGGAGACAGTAGTGCCTCTCAGGATGGCTTCCTCGGGGCCCAATAAAATGGCCCAGTGAAGCCCTTAACGAAGCGGGCCGGGGGGCAGGTGGGGGCGGCCAAGCGCGTCGGGGCACGGCCTGCACTTGGCGTAGCCTGAGCTGACAGGATCCTGGCTGACTGCCGACCCCGCCCGGCGTTCAGCCCGTCCAAGCTGTCCTCTGCACCCCACTCTCAGGCTGGGCGGGGACAGCCTGAGCCCTGTAGCAGTGACACTGGGGGGCGCAATGGAGCTCAGCCCCTTCTGCGCTCCTTCGAGAGGACAGAAGATTCCAGAACCCAGGGGAGGGTGCTGGGCCCAGGCTGCTCACTTCTCAGAGAACAGGGGGGTTGCTCTGGGTCTTTGTTCTGCCCCCTGTGCCTCTGCCCAGGGCCCCCCACGGGGCAGTAGCCCCTGGCCCGGGGCGGACCAGGGCACACAACCCACAGCTCGGCCTGCCAGGAACTTCTCCGCCCCCCAGGTTTTCTTTTGTTAAAGAACCAAAACATTTTGGGACCTGAGCAATAGTGCAGCACGGAGGGTGCAAACGCCTTACATGCAGCTAACCTGGGTCCGCCGAGCACCAGGAGGGATCTCTGAGTACAGATCCACAGGTAAGCCCTGAACATTGCTGGATGGGGCCCCTAAACAAAACAAAACAAAATGAACCAAAACCATTTTCGTCCCCTAAAATAACTCAAAGTTGGCACGGGATATGGAGAAAACCCCTGGCAAGGAAGGGAAAGGCCTGAGGTGGAGTCGCGAGGACCCGCATGGTAAGACCCACACCGAGCTGAACCTTGGGGCTGAACCGAGAGGACCTCGGGCAGGACTCTTGCCTTGCATGCAGCCAACAGGGGTTCATCTCATGGTGTCCCAAGCTGGCCAGGAGAAAGCCCTGAACGCAGCTGGGTGTGGCCTCCAAACCAAAAGTAGGGAAGTGCGGGGACCAGTGGGTGCAGTGCTGACATGGGGGTGTTGCCTCTGAGGGCACATAGGAGAGGGGGAGGGGCTGGCTCAGGCTGGGCTCCAGTGTGGCCCTCACGGCCACGTGGCTGGCCCGGGCCGTGTCCACCGCTCGCCAGCTGCACAGTCAGGGCAGAGCTCAGCCCTCCGAGGGGTCAGGGCGGGCAGGGGAGGCAGGGTCTCTTGCAGAGCCCACCTGGTGGGAAAGGCCTGCCTGGGCTCCACCCACCAGGCCCCCGCCCCCCCCCCCCCCCCCCCCCGACCAGAGGGGAAACACCTGCCTTCCCAGTTTGGAGAATGCCGGTTTCTCGGCACTTCTGCCGGACATGACCCGTGGGGCCGAGGTCTTGTTCTGGGCCGGATCCCCTGTACACGATGTTCGCTGTTGGTGTGACCAGGCATTTGGCGAGCGCACCGGAAATAAACTTGGAGCCTCCAGGGAGTGACTGCTGTTTCCCGAGTCACTGACCTCACTCCGTCACGCCTACACACACCACCAACTCAGCATGCCCCCCCCTCCCCCCCCCCCCGCACACAGAGCCTCGGTGTCCATGGCCTGGGTTTTCCAGCTGTCCGCTCTATCTTTGGGCCACACCTGGCAGTACTCAGGACCACGTGTGGTGCCAGAGACCTGGGCCAGCCGCATGCAAGGAAAGGGCCCTCCCAGCTGTCTGCGCACCCCAGCATCCCCGTGCTCGAGACGGCTGGTCCCCATTCAGTCCTGTCTGCAAGGTAGGAACAGGGCCAAGCCTGGGACAGGCCTGGGGCCCAGGGAGACACGGAGACCTGAGGACCATCTGGAACCTGGTCCCTTCTCCCAGCCACAGCAGCTGACCTATGCCATCTCCAGGGACTGCTCCCACGATACTTGGGGACGCTGCATATTAGAGACTCCAGGGTGCTTGTATGATACTCAGCAGGGACAGGGAGTTCTGCGAAGGCCAGCCACAGTGCAGGGCTGAGCCTAAGGACAGTACCCAGGAAAAGGTGTCAAACCCACTTCTCATCTTCCCATGCCCTTGGAGACGGAGATGGGAGGGGGTGGCCCAGCCCCCCCAACCCCCTGCTGTCACCTGCGGCAGGCCCCTCTGCCACCGCATGCTCCTGGAGCTGCCACTCCGGAGACCCTGGGCCCTTCATCCGTCTCTCAGGAACCCTCTGCACTTTCCCTGGGGATGTCGCCCAGCGGCAAAGCAGCTGTCTTGCAGAAGTTCCATCCCCAGCACCACCCCAGGTGTCAAAACAGTCCCCACGCCACCACTGTAGCAAAAACAGACACACCAAGATAAAAAGCCTTTAGGAACCCTGTGAATCATGCAACTTAAAAGGTGAGGTAGAAGATGCCACCCAGCCTGAGCAAGAGCCGACAACCATGGCATGGCCCAGCCACTGTCATGTCTGTCTCGGCCCTGGTTCGAGCCCCGCCTTCAGCCCCTTGCCACGGCTGCAACATACACCCCGAGGGTGGAGGTGCACTCGGGACGCTTCCTGCGGGCTGAGGACTAGGCCTCCTTACACACGGGCTTCTGCACCGGCCTGGCCCCTTTGCTGCCGTCACTGTGTGTTACCAGAAAAACTCCTCAATTTACTGGCTTTGATTTCTTTTTGGTCTTACCTGTGGTGCTCAGGGCTCACTCCTAGCTCTGTGCTCACAGGACCCTGTATGGTGCTGGGGATTAAACCTGGGTCAGCTGCATGGGGGCAGCGGGAAAGGCCGGGCTGGGAACACTGGAGCTCCCTGGGCTATCCAGGGCACATCCTCAGGAATGGCCAGGCAGGCTCGGTTCCCACAGCCTCTGGAGGGACCGCAGGTCGGCGCAGTGTGCTCAGGACGCCAGGAAGGTAGAAGGCTTTATTGGCAGGAGCAGCTGAGTCTCACGGACACGACACAAGCAGGGCAATCACTGTTGCTATACAGCTGGCCTTTGGCACCACCCCGAGCCCTTGTTCCCGACAGGGCTGGACATTCAAACTGCACCTCGTGAGCAGCCAGTTCTCGGTGACCGCCCGCAGTCGACCCCAAGCTGCCACCAAGTACAAGGATGGCAACAGCTGGCAACGGGCGAAGGCTGGCCAGGCCTTGTCCTCCTCCAGGCCAGTGAGAAGCACAGGCGGTACAGACCCGCTGTGAAGGACGGACTGAAAACGACGACAACGCCATGACAAGGCCTGCACTCCAGAACAGGCCAGGCGAGTCCGCGGCAGGACGAGGAGGGCTTCCCGCCGAGACGGTGGCGAAGACACGTGGGCTGAGTGCTGCCAGAAGCGGCGGCCCGCTCTGTACGCAAGGCAAGAACATCGGGGTGCTGGTTCTGCCATGCTTCCCCCCAAACCAGGTTAAAAAAGCCCTGATTTTCAGGTTCTGGATTTTAGGTCCAGAGGTATCTTCTTTACAAAAATATCTATTAAAAAATCATTACTAAAAGTCTCATGACTTAATCACAGTCCCTCAAGCACCTAGGCCAAGCCCTGACATCTTTCTTGCAAGGGTGAATAAAACTGCCACCTCGTGCAGAAATGAGGTCAGGATGTGGCCTCACAGGAAGATGGGAGCTGGGTCTCAGGGAAATGATAAAATTCCCGCCGAGATATGACATTTCTCACTGACTTTAAAATAGAGATTTAACTGGAGACTTATTTTAATACTGAATAAAAATGTACTCATCTGAACACGTTCGTACAGACTCCCCTCTTGAGTGCAGTAAAAGGCCACTTGCAGGAGCAGCCGGGGGTCCCGGCGGCTGGCCAGACCCCACCTTGTCCGAGCTGGGCGGACAGAGTGGCACAGTGCCTTCTGAGAGGGCCTGGCCCCACAGCGGGGCCGCCCTTTCCCAGTGACCAAGGCTGCACCTTCCCTCCAGGCTGGCACCGCCGTCACAGCTCCATGGACCGCTCAGGGCTGCCTCCAGATCGGCGCGTCACCATCACAGCTCTGTGGACCGCTCGGGGCTGCAAAAGTCTTCCTGGGGCTTGCGGTGGAAGTAAGTGCAGATTTTCCTCATGGAGCCAGGGGTGATGGTGCCCTAGAACCAAGACGTGGGTTCAGACACTTCCCAACCGGCAGCCATGCAGTGTGGGCTGGCCACCATCACCACTGGGGCAGAGTGCTTGGGCATTACTCAGTCGGTGAGAAGTGGGCAAGGACCCTCCTACCGTGAGAGCGGGGACTGTCCCCACGCCCTTTCCAATGGCGGGAAGATCCTTTTCAAGAGACTCCAGTTTTCGGGGCTAGAAAAGGCACTTGCCTGGTCCAATCCCTGGTGCCTCAGCTGGGACTAATCCTCCAAGCACCACTAATGGGCCTCAAAACAGAACCAGGGAATTTCCTTAATTCCAACCAGCTGCGCCCACTTCTGAGGTCTCAGATGTTGGTCGCAGCCCTCCACGCCCTCCTGCTGACCACAGCCCAGCCTGTGCCCCTCCACACGCTCCAGGATGTTCCTGGCAGGCGTGACCATGGTGCCTGGGCATGTCAGCTCCCACTGGGCAGAGACAGAATGGTCTCTTAGGATCCCACTCCTCACAGAAAGAATTCCCAAAGGCAGTGAGGCTGATGAGCACTGGTGTCGAAGGCTGAAAGCTGGGAAAGATCATGGAATTCCAGGAAACCCTGGACCTAAGGTGCTGTGCAAGCACTTAAGCTTCACTTTTAAATACTTGTCAACTAATCACAACCCAGTCTGGTTTTGAATGTCGCAGCCTTTCCTGCAAAGGGGCTGGGAAGAATGAGGGGGTGGGCTCAGCATGGTGAGGGGGCAGGAAACCCTGGGGACGGTTCTGCCCAGTCACCCCAGGGCCACACACAGCCCCGTGCCAGGGAGTGGAGGGAGGGGTGCCCACCCGCCCCGACTCACCGGGCCTGGGGGAGTCTTTCCGCTTTGTCTTCTGGCCCCGGGGGTCTGTGCCGAGGGGCTGTGTGGAGACGTCTCAGCTTTCCGCTTTGCAGCCATGGCCAGGAGCCAGTTTTTGTTCTCGGGGGAGCTGTTCTCTTTGCCCACCACCCCGGACCCTTCCCCGCAAGTGCCCAGGGCGAGTGGCAGCGTGGCACAGGCTTCTGCGGTGCAGGGGCTGGCGGGGGACGGCGGCTCCGAGATGCTCCCAGTGGCACCCTCCGTCTTGCCACCCTTGGCTGGCCCCAGGGTGTCCTGGCCTGCATCCTCAGGGCCCCCGGCCAGGCAGCACACGTCCAGCTGCAGCTTCTCGGCCGGGACGCCGAGCTCGGTCACGCAAGTGCAGCCCCTCGCACACTTCTGCTTGGTGCTCTCCGTGCCCCCCGCGTCCAGCCGGCGCTTCACGCGGCTGCGGGAGCCGGGGCAGACGGCGGCTGCCTGGGCCGACCTGAGGCTCACGGGGATGAGGGCCTTCCGTGGGGACAGGAGTTGGGGCTCGCCGGGCGGCGACGAGGACGGGGTCTGGGTCATCCAGTGGCGAATAGACATCTTGAAGGAGGAGGGGGGCTTGGGGGAGGCGGAGCCCCTCCTGGTGCCGGGCGAGCGGGCCTTGGCAGGTGGCGTCCTCAGAGAGGTGGGGGTGCTGGAGGGGAGGGGCAGGGCCCCGGAGCAGCTTGGTGCACACGTGGCCGAGGACGGGGAGCCGAGGGCCAGGCTGCTCCTCGCGCGGGGGGCCTTGGCAGGCGTACACTGGCTGCTGGCCGCTGGTGCTGGGGACACAAGGGTCAAGGGTTAGGGGGCAAGGACCAGCAGCTCCCTTTACGCCCCCAGGCCAAATCAGTGCATACCTCAGGGGCCGCTCCGGGACACACCGCAGCGAGGTAGTACTACCTGGTCTTGGCACCCGATAGGCCCCCTTTTCTGATTCCCACTCTCTCACATTCTCTCTCTCAGTTTCTGGGCCACAGCGGGATGGGTCACACGCCAGGCAAGCGCCTCCACCCTTGTACTTTCCCCACAGACCCTCCCCTCCCCAATCATACTGGTCTGACAACCACAGCAAACAAACCATCCCCATGAACCCCCACCGCTGCCCTTCACACCTGCATGCTCTCATCCCCAGCCCCCTTCATAGAGGATTTTGGTGGTGACCCCTTATTTCCCTCCAGGCCCTCTCTGGCCCACCGAGTCACCGAGGGCCACCTTGCCGGGGCAGTGCACTGCCACTCAGCTGAAGCCCCAGCCTCAGATGAGCTGATGCTCGCTCAGACCCCCTCGCTTCGGCGCAGGGCTCAGAGGCACCAGGTCAGGCCGAGACTCCGGGCACGGAGGAGACAGGAAACGAGCCCCCAGGAGCTTCTGTCGGAACCACCCCACCCCCGTTCGAGGCTGGCTTCCTGCACTGAGCTCTCCCGGTCAGCCGGACAGTCGCTTGGAGGAGCACACCCCCAGACAGGTCTGTTCCCGTCACAGGGCTCAGTGCCCCCACCCCCAGCTCTTGGCCCTGCCCAAGCTGCAGCAGTTCCCGGTCTTCCTACCTTCACTCCCCCTCTGCCTTCGGTCCCCCATGCAACACCGATCTGCTCAGCACGCAGAGGGTTCAGTGCTCCTATGCAGTCAGACACTTCATTCACATCTCCCAGGCTTTTCCTCTTTAAATGTCATTATTACTAAATCCCTAGGGCTGGAGCGATAGCACAGCGGTAGGGCATTTGCCTTACAAGAGGCCAACATGGCCGACCCGAGTTCGATTCCTCCGCCCCTCTCGGAGAGCCCGGCAAGCTACCGAGAGTATCTCGCCCGCACGGCAGAGCCTGGCAAGCTCCCCATGACGTATTCGATATGCCAAACACAGTAACAACAAGACTCACGATGGAGACGTTACTGGGCCCACTTGAGCAAATCGATGAACAACGGGAGGACTGTGACTGTGACCATGACTAAATCCCTAGCAACTCAAAAGAACCCGAAACCCAAAACCCAAAGCCAACCAAACAAAAACAACTACCAGGGAATCCCAGCACTTACACAGAAAAGCAGCAGCATTTAGAAAATGTTTACAGAAAAGAATGCCAGGAAGATGGTGCACTGGTTTGAGACACTCAAACTGAGGTGAAAGCCGGTGAAACAGGAGTGAACCAATCAGACGGCAGGGATTCTTACCCGGCTCTGGGCGCGCCTCCTTCTTCCTCTGAGAGGCCCAACCCACCAGGGTGAGCTTATCCACAGATCTCTCCTCCAAGCCCCGGTTCAGACGCCAGATCTTCAGTGTATTGTCATCGGAGCAGGTGGCGATCTAGGGAGGCAGGGAGGGGGTGGGGAGTGTCACCATGAGAGAAGGAAATTCAATGGCAAGCCAGAAGCCAAGAGCACGGGCTCTGGCCCTCAGGGTCAGCCCCGGCTTCTCAAGCCGGGGACCTGTCTGCTCACTCAGTGCCCAGCCAGTCCTCGCACTGGACCCACTCACCCCAGGCTGCCCCCACGATGTGGGAGGGCATCTTCCCCGCCCATCAATGAAGAGGTCCTTTTGGCCCCCACTCTCTTTAAAGATCAAATTACTGCCAGACACCGACTAGACCTCTACCGCCTGCCGGGGGTTCTGTGGCTCTGCCTGGCTATGTGGTGCCTTCCAGGGTGGCCTGGCCACGCCTCTGCAGACTGAAGCTGTTCCTTGGGGTTCCCCCTCAGACAGGTTCAAATGCAATCTGGGAAAACATTGAGTTCACTAGGTAGCAAGAAGTTAAAAATAACCTTTGCCCCTTTAAAAATATCTGCCCACTCCCGATCTGGGTCCCATGCCTTTTATGGAGAGAAGCCTAGCTCAGGAGCCGTGGCAGCGGCCGAGGGGCTGAGTGGCCAGCACTGAGCTGCTCCCGGCGCTCACTTCTCTGTTCTAGTCAGAGAGAGAAACACATAGGCTCTCTGCACTCTGCACCCCACAGGGCCGGCAGTTTTCCCTTCTCTCACGGAGACCAGGAGAAAACATACACTCAAACCATTCCAGTCCACTTCTGGAACCGTCATTCTCAAAGCACCTTGGACGGGTCTGCCCCGCATTCCATCCTCACAGTCCAGAAAGCCTCACCTTCGATTAATCAAGGCCAGCACGACGAGGAGGCAGAGTGAGAATTTAAATCAAGTCTTTTGGCTTCAAAGGTCAGTTATAAAAAAAAAAAAAGGCAAGGGCCTAGTAGGCCACTGAAGACCCCTCAGAAAGGGTGGCCATGCCTTTAGCACAGGGACAGCCTGTGGGACACAGCGGCGACACATGGCAGATGGAAAAAGATGACTGGCTTAAATGTTTTATTAGCAGCACTGTAGCACTGTCCTCCCGTTGTTCATCGATTTGCTCGAGCGGGCCCAGTAACATCTCCATTGTGAGACTTGTTGTTACTGTGATTGGCATATCAAATACGCCACGGGTAGCTTGCCAGGCTCTGATGGGCGGGCGAGATACTCTCGGGTAGCTTGTCGGGCTCTCCGAGAGGGGCGGAGGAATTGATCCCCAGTTGGCCGGGCTGGCCGCGTGCAAAGCAAACACCCTATCGCTGTGCTATCACTCCAGCCCAATGTTTTATTATTATTTATTTTTATTTGCTATTTATTATTTTCAGTCTTTGGGCCACATGGGGTGATGCTCAGGGGTTACTCCCGGCAGGGCTAAGGGGACCAAACGGGGTGCCAGGAATAGAGTCCTGGCAAATGTGTCCCCGCCACGCTACGGCTCTGGGCTCCCCGCCCCCATTCTGGACGGAGGTTCTGTCATCAGTCTTTCAATCCTTGGCTTCTCACGCACACGTCCACATTTGCACAAACCTTTGTGAAGTCTGAGGGGCACCAGCACACAGAAGTGACCTCTTGAGAGTGACCTTGGAGCACAGTGGGCGGAAGCGAGGGAGCAGAGACCTGGGGGTGGGAAACAAGCGCCAGTGTCAGTAGACCGGCTGCAGGGGAGAGGCCGTCAGGTGCGGAGAGCTCCCTAAGACGGGGCTCACCCCAGGGAGGGTGCTTCAGGCGGGCCCATGCTGCCAGGCCCAACACACCCCATCTTCTCGAGCCGGCCCCTCCAGAACACTGGCCACAGAGCCCCTTCTGGAAACCGGCCAGATCCTGCAAGCTCCTGGAGGCTCTGCATGCTGTGCTCTGAAGCAGCTCAAGAGCTTCACAGGACAAGCTCGCAGCCTGTTTTTTTGGTTTTGGGCCACACCTGAAAGTGCTTGGGGATCACTTCTGGGAAGTATACATGGTGCCAGGGATCAAAACCTGGGTTGGCTGCATGCAAGGCAAACATCCTACCCACGGCACTATCGCTGCAGCCCGTAACAGCTTCCTCCCCCCGCCCTCCCTTATCCGTTGTTGTTTTTTAGACCATACTTGGCATTGCTCAGGGGTTATTCCATAAGGAATTACTGCTGGTGGTGCTTGAAGACAATATGGGATGCTGGGGATCAAACCCGGGGTGGCCGCATGCAAGGCAAATGCCCTGCAAGCTGTGCTATCGCACAGGCCCCCAGAAATCTTACCCCATTCATGCTTAAAGAATGTGTGCTCTTTCAAGGAGGCATGGCTCCCTGGAGCGATCTGTGGCGAGAAGGTGCCAGTGACCAGCATGGACACCAGGCTCAACTGTCCTGCCTCCCAAAGCCGGCAATCACACAGGACAGGACGACGGAAGTTATTTACATTCCCACAGGAGCCTTCGTACAAGACTGCAGAGGAGGCAACACTGGGGACCAAGAGAACTTGCTGAGTCCTCCCCAGTATCCTCTCCACGGCCACCCTCCTGCACCGAGCGCACCGAGGTGGAGACCTGGGTTAAGGTGAGAGAGAGGCCACATCCTCTAGGGCGTGTCTTGATGTCCCGAGCATGGCGTCCACGCCAGTGAGGCAGAGGTGTCTTTCCTGCCCTCTGTTGGGAGGGTCCCTGGGAGTCTAAGTTTCTTTTCACCCCAAACCCAAGTAGCACCCCGAATGCCAGTTCAGAGGGAAAGGAAGCCCTCTCTCCGGGATCCCCGGCTGCCCATAGCACCCCTCTCTAGCCTGCTGGGAAAGCCGGGTCTTGGTGGGGATCAGAAGTATATTTCTGTAAGAAACTCAATCCCCAGGGAAAACCCCAACCAACGACAACAGGTAGAAACAATTAACGACAGCCAAGCTGGCGTCTGCCAAAGGCTGTCTGCAGCGTCAGAAGCAGGGGGCTGGGCTCCTGAAAGACCGAGAATGACGGCATGAACCAACAATCCCTCACTCAGGTCTGTCTTGCCAAGACAATGGGAAAAAAATTCAATCTGTACAAAATGTTCACATAACTTTTTCATAAAGTTAAAAACAAAAAGAAAAATGCCTTACTCTGGTACTAGGCCACTGGCTGATGAGCAGGGCAGGGTCCACCCTATCCAGGGGATAGCCGCTGTGGTGTTTGAGTCCTTCTTACTCAACGGCTTTTATCCATTATCATGAAAACCCACTATAATGGACACCCCCTGCTCCCCACACTGAGGCCAGTCACACCGTGCACTGGTCAAATGTGTGAAATTAGGAAGGTGCCCCTAGAAAGGACTGGTCACAGCCAAAGCCCTGCTGAGGCACGGGGAGTGGGGGAGGCAGGCGCTGGGGCAGGGTAGGAGAGGAAAGAACATCTCCACTGTCTGAGGTTAGTCCAGGCCCTGGCAGAGCCCGGGGACCACATGAGATGCCAGATGCTCGGAATCGAACCCAGGTTGGTCACGTGCAAGGCAAATGCCCTACGCCATATCAGAGTCTAACCACATCTCCCCTCTCCCAAACTCCCTTTGCTCCCTTGCTCATTGCTTGTGGTCATGTTTCCTCCCTTAGTGTAGGAAAAACCCCAATACGCAAAGAATCACGACCCTGGGAAACGCAGCGAGCTGAGAGGCAGCAGCCTGCAGCCCTCGCACAGGGCTCGCTTCCCGACGCCACAGCCCGGCCCGGTTCCCACCACGGGAACGAGGAAGCAGGCGCCCAGCAGGCCAGTCCCACTTTGGGCACAGCCGCCCGCCAGGATCTCAGGTATCAGAGCTGCTCAAGGACTTCTGTGCAGATGGGCAGGGGACAGCATGTCTGCTCTGAAGCGCGTCACTCAGCACGGACACGTGGCCAGGAGTGCGACAGGGCTGTAAATGTCCGTGAAAGCCGCTGAGCAGATGTCCACAGACATGGGAGGCCAGGGAAGAGCCGACACGCACAGGCCACGTGCCCCAGTGACCAATCTCGCCTGCTGTGACCCGTCCGTTACTGCTTTGCTGTGAAATGGGCTCAGAATGATTGAAGAATGTTGGTAGTGCAGTGGTGCTTTTGCATAACCTATTTCCTACGAGGTTTTCTGGCAAGCCTGAAATCTATTTTCTTGAGAACCTTAATTACCAGTGCTAGTGAGAGACGCTGCTAAAATTTTTATGCTAAAGTCAGAGGATTTTATAAGTACGAAGCCAGGGGGCCAGAGTGATAGTACAGGGGGAGTGCACTTGCTTGGCACATGGCCAACTCGGGTTTGAACCCTGGCATCCCATATGGTCCCCTGGGCACTGCCAGGAGTAATTTCTAAGTATGGACTCAGGAATAGCCAGAGCATTGCCGGGCGTGTCCCTAAAACAAACAAAAAGAAGCCAGGTAAAAAATTGCACAAAACTAGGTCTAAAACATTCACAAAACAGATCTTCTGTTTTATGGGCCACACCTGGCAGTGCTCGGGAGAGTTTAGGGGTGCTGGGAATCAAGCCCCGGTTGGCCGCATGCAGGGCGGTGCCTGACCGCCGGACTAGCAGGAAACAAAAGAGTGAACGCTGCGCATCCAGCACCAGTGCCCAGGGCACTACAGAGCGAAGGCGGGCAAGGAGGAGACGCTCGGCCCTGTGGAAATGGTTAGTTTTGTGTCCTACCTGGTGGCAGTCAGGCCAGACCCCGAGCACAGCTGCACGCAGCCCTGGGAGCTGTCCCCGGCAGGGACCCGCTGGGCTACCTGTGCTGTGTCAGCAGGTCCCGCCCATGGGACATTTGAGCATTTGCCACCAGGCCTCAAATGAGAGCCCAGATTTCTCAGCACGCAGGAGTCACTTTAGAAACACTATTTTTAACTTGGGGGTTTTGGGGATCACCCAGTCAGAGGTCCGTACAAGGCGACTGGGATTAATTTGGGTGGGTGTGAACACCCTACCTGCTCTATTTCTCTGGCCCTAGAATCATCGTTTTAAAATGGACAAAGTTAAGATATTACAATGCCATTGGCACACAAAGGTAAGGCAGCTACAACTCTCTCAGTGCTTGAGCACGCCCGCTCCTGAGTACAAAGCAAATCACCATCATGGCTGGCAAGGACCAGAGCTGAACCTTGGCTCTGTGCTCAGAGGCCATGTGTGATGCCGGGGACCGAACCAGGTTGGCCACGGGCAAGAAAAATGCCCTACCTTGCTGGAATATCTCCCGGTCAAGAGCACAACAAGGTACTCCATAAGGCTCCGCGTGAGCAGAGGGTGGCCCCCGGGGCACGGCAGGCGACAGGCAGCAGCCCGCTCTCCCACTGCGCCCTCCCCGCCTGGGATCCGGCAGAAGGGCGCGGGCCGCGGGGAATCCAAGTCCACATCCAAAGACCAACAGAACAAAGGTCGACGTACCTTCCAGATGTAGGCAGATTCATCACTCGAGCCACTGATTAAAAACTGGTCATCTGGACTGAGGCTGGATTTAATGTAAAAGGTCGAGTTCTGGTGTCCACTATAGACAGCCACTGCCAGAGAGAAGACAGCACAACTTAGTCCATGTCATTTCCAGGTTCAAATGTGTGCTGAGCCCTGACAAGGTTTTAGCCGATTCACCAATGAGGTCGAAGACAAGCTGCATTCACAACACAGAAGGGAAACACGTTTCTCTCAGACCCACCCCCATCACCTCAACCCTCGTGAGGAGATGGCTCTGCAGAAATGGGGTGGCCCGGGAGAGCTCAGGGTGACGGCACCAGTGTGAGCCCCACAGAGGCTGCAGAGCCAAGCACGGCGAGGAGCCCCCAGGCGAGGTGGTCCACAGACTAGAAAGACAGCGACGAAAGCAGGAAAAGCAGATCAGAATGGAACCAACACCCAAACACACATCTTCAAGTATTTGCTTCTTCAATCAAAGAGCCAACTAGAAGATCTCATGTTGAGTGAAGAAAGCCAGAAGAAGGACAAACACAGGAGGGGCTCACTTCTCTGTGGGATACAGAAGAGTGGATGAGGAAAGGTACGGTATAAGGGGGAGGCCTAGATCACCCCTGCCCCAGTGTTCAGAGAAGGACAGAAGGAAAGAAATCGGGGTGGGGGAAGAGGAAGAGAACGGGAAAGAGCGGGCCAACAGGCGCAGGGGTCCAGCTGCACCGCTGATACGGGCGAGTGGGGGAGTAACATGCCCCAAACACAGGAAACGTGAGATCCAAGCGGCAACTACTGGGACTCTTGCAATGTGCCTGTGCAGGCGACAGGCAGGCTGGGTGGCGAGAGAACATGGGGGACACTGGAGGGAAGCTGACGCTGGGATTGGTGCTGAACCAGCGTATGCCGAAAACTGACTCTGGGAATCACAGTTCTCTAACAGACCAATCAGCCAAGAACTCAGAGCCAGACTGTATGGTGGGAACCTGTCGCTCAGCTTGACAAGCAGCGGGAGAGCACCTGCTCCTCAAAGGCCTCGAGACCAGGCCGGGCCTGCAGGCCCAGCTGCTCGTTCTGGAGAAGAGACCACGCAGGGTCCCCAGGGGCTCAGACAGCCGGAGCACAAACCTCAGAAACCAGAGCACTGCTAGGAAACACCAAGGCAAACTCCCCGTCATGGCAAAATTGAGTCCGGTAAGTACCGCATCCACTCTCTGACAGAGGGAAAGAAGGGTCATTAGGAGTTCCAATGGCTTTCCACAAGTTCTTACAGAAATCCCCTTTCGACTACCAGACTCAAAGCAAGAAACTTGGCATTTAAGAATAAAACCTTTCAAGAAAAAGCCTGTGAAATACCAACGACCCACTGGTCCCCCCCCCACACTCCCCCTGACCGGGTCAGGCGCTCGAGCTCTAGGGCTCATCTTTCTCAACTCCAACCACGAACAGAAACGACCGGCAGAGCTCCCACTCGGCTGGAGAGATGGCCCATGGGGCACGGTACTGGCCTGGGTAGACATGCACGCACTGCCAGGAGTGACCCCTGTGGAATGCTGGCCGTGGCCCCTCTCAGACAGACAAGGAAGACCTTTTGGAGGCGGGGTTGAGACAGCTGCCCCGAGAGCTCAGGGCTTGCTCCTGAAGGCCGGGGAACCAGTGGGCCGCTGGCCCCAACAAGGGTTACCCACAAGCACAGCCAGGTCTCCCCACAGTTCCACCCGCGGGCCCTGAGCCTGAAGTCTCTCCTGCCCCCTGCTGGCTGGAGGGGGGAGGGTCTGCGGATAGTCTTGGATGCTACAGGTTCAAGTGCGCCAGGGTGATCTGACAGGATAATGAAATACTGGAAAGGATAGAAAGTGAGGGGTAGGGGTGGATCAAGGATGAACTGAGGTTACTTTGTCAGGGTTTTGAAAAAAGGCAAGCAAATAACAATCATGCCCTCCACGTTGCCTCTATATATCTGATAATCAGGATTAGGAGTTTATCTTTGAGTCAAGGATTTGATATGTCTATTTTACATGACTAAGGGAGAAGTGTCCAAGTTCTAATCCGTTCTAAATAGCAAAAAGAATGTTAGACTCTCTTCCCTTTTCCAGATAGTCTTACTGAGACCAGAGCTTCTTAAACCTCTTCCACTTGCAATTCTTTTTTGTCCAACCCCAGGTATATAAAATAGTTGCACACAGGAAAAACATTTATGAATAATAAGACACATTTAAAACAGACTTTCCTGCCCCTCCACACAGGGCAGACGCGGCCAGGCCCAAGCAGGGCACCAGCATCTCTTCAAGGGGCCACAGTCTGGCCTGGCCACAGGCCGGCGTGGGAGCCATTAGCGGCCCAGCCAGGCTCGGTGCTACTCTGAGAGTTCTTGTTGAGCAGAAGTCTTACTTTCTGGGAGCTTGGCAGTCCCGGGAATTGGCTACAGAACCCTAAATCTGTTTCTGATGCAGCTGTACCCGAAGAAGCTGGTCACTCTCCTCAGCTTTTCAAAGTACAGGTTTGTGTTCTTAGACCTGGGGCCCAGGGAAATCACCGCTGACCCCACTAGCCAAGAGCGAGAGGAAAGGACCCCCAGTCCCCGGGAGGAACCTCAGAGTCTGCCTGGAGGCGGGAGGCCCTGGGTTCAACCCCTAGCACGAAGTGGGGGAACAGGGTAACGCAACCAAAGAGCTACTAGAGCACACTTGAGAAACTCTGGTTACCTTCCTAAAATTTGACTCTTTATCTTTTAATGCCAGATGCTGTTTTCTTGTAAATTAAAAAAACAACAACTCCTAGAATCCAGGGGCCCCCTGTGCGGTGTTGAGACACGTTCAGGGCTGAGACACCGAGTGATCACTTTAAAATTCAGACTCTGACAACACAGGACAAACTGAGCAGAGCAGCCCTAGAGACAGGGAGTGATCACAAACACAGCCAAGGGGATGAGTGTCGGCCAATGACCCCCCAAATGCTATGTCTCAGTAAGTTCAAAGAAAATATACAACAGGGGGCTGGAGACTGTACACAGGACAGCAGGTTGGCCAGGTTCAGTCCCCAGCATCCCATACAATCCTCCGTGCACTGCCAGGAGAAATTCCTGAGCCCAGAGTCAGGAGGAACCCTGAAACAAAGCAAGGCTACACAACCCTAACTCAAGCACTGCCACCAGCCCTCATCAAGGAGCGCGTGACACGGTGCTCACCTGGAGAAGCCTTCAGCCCCGTCATATTAAACACGTAGATGTTGTCATCGGTGCAGTTGGCAAACAGAGTGGAGCCCGTGGAGTCCAGAACCAAGCTTGAGTACCCTGAAACGAGCGAGCAGGATACAGCAGCAGCAGAGTCAACTCGGTTTCCCAGCCTTCACCTCCTCGAAGATGCCAACCTCCCATCAGTCCTCACGCAGCGCTGTGTGTCTGCTGAGCTCACCCCGACGCAGCGGTGGCTACTCTGACTGATGGACACCCTGGCCCACTCACCCAGCTTCCGCGTGCTGCTGCCCGGGTACAAGAAGCACTTGGCCGCGATGGGTTCCTGACGGTAAGCTGTGTAATTCTTTCGCAGGTCCCATACTTTGATCACCCTAGAAACAAAGGCGAGGGGCTGTTTGGCATCTTACTTCACCAGCCACGTGACTGGGAAACAAATCTCCAACTCCTTCAGCCCACCCGCCAGGCGGCGGGGCAGCCCCCGGGGCCCAACCCACCTCCTGCCGTCTGTGCTCAGGCCTGTGGGCCTCAGAGCGGAAGCAGATGGGAGCTGACCCAGTGACGGGTCACCTTGCCTGATCCCAGCAAGAGGAAAAAGGAAGGTGAAGGCGGGTGCTGACAGTCACAGGGTTATTGTTCTCAGGGAAAACGCTTCCCATGCCCGTGCTGCTATTCATGTACACCAGGCATCACACGCCCGTTGCTATGGCCTGGGCGCTCAGCCTCTACCCCAGCTCCTTAACCAAGTCCAAACAGACTTTGCTGGAAAGAAAGAAGCTTTTCTCCCTTTATCAGGATGCCATCTCCAGCCTCTTCCCAGGCACTCACAGCAGCACAGCCGACAGCCTCCAGAGAAGCTGTGTTTGTGCCCAGGAACTTGGTTCAGGAGAGCTAGACCAGTATTTAAGAAGGGGGAATACTCGAAAGGGAAAGGGTCTCACACACACAGCTGACAGGCTCCCCCTTGGGTGGACCAGGCACCAAGCAGGACCCTGATTGCCCAGGGAGAGCTGCAGCTGCTCCCGCCTGGAGGGGAGTGTCCAGCACACACCTTCGCTGTCTCAGGCCTCCTCTCACTTCAGGAAAGACGCCATCCAAAGGGACACTCACCCATCCACGGCACCTGCCGACACTAACGTGTTTTCATCTTGAAAGAGAACCACAGTCACACTCTGCTGGAAATCCTAACAGGAGACAGGGAAAACAAAACAGGACGATCTTTTTTGGCTTGTTTTCGGGTCACACCTGGGGATGCTCAGGGGTCACTCCTGGCTCTGCACTCAGGAATCACTCAGCTGTGCTCCAGGACCATATGGGACGCCAGGATTGAACCTGGGTTGGCCACAGGCAAGGCAAGCGTCCCTGCTCTCCTCTCCAGCCCCAGGGACGTCTGGCTCGGGTTTCTCATTCTTTACCAAGGTAACAATGTGCACTGGCTGTTATCCAAACTGCGAGTTCAACCAGGCCTTCACGCTCCCTTAAACTTAATTAAAATTGGGGGCCAAAGGCAATCCTAGCACTGAAACGGCCACCGCCAGATTTTGCTTAGCTCAGCCTCCAGCACTGCTTTGCGACAGCCCTACTAAGAATAACTTGTTCACCCCCAGCTTCCTCATCTGCCTGTCCGGTGCCCCCAGCACTGACGGCATGTCCCAATGTCTCTGTCCACCACAGGAGAAAGTCAAGGGCTGGGGCTGAATCCCATGCTCTGAAATGTGGAGGAACTCTGTGCTCAGTGACACTTCACCAAATGGACCATGTGCTGGTCCCTCCAACGCCTCCTTCCTCACTGGCCCCACAGACTTTCTCATCAAGTCCCAGAGCCCATATGGAGCTGCGGAAATTTTTCTTTTAAAATCAGTGTATGATTTATTATCGTAAAGGTGTGACCTATATGCCTGGGGCACATGATTTGTGGGCAAAGGGTCTCCTGGGAAAGGAGTTCACGCAGCCCTACGGTGTGCAGTCTCCAGGCAGTAGGCAGGCAAGGATTCTGCATGTTTCCTGGGTCCCGGAAACCAATGCTCACCGCTGCAGACGCCAGGTGTTGAGACAGACTCACTGACATCAAAATGAAATGAGGATTCTCTGCTCTTCACCCACAGCTCCCCTAATGTTAAAATCTGCACGCACATACTTCTTTAAGTATTTACCACAGAGGGAGCAAGTCCTTTAGAATTCTGTTTCTTCTTAGGTTTGGATGGAGTTTGCTTGTCTCCGGTATTATGAGCACCGCTGATTTGATTTACTTGCCTATAAAATCCATCTGAAAGATATTCCGGGGATTGAGTCATGGTAAATATGACTTCCATGCACAGCCTTCAAAATAGACATTCCCTAGGTCAGTGAACTCAGTGAAGTCACACCGCACTCTTCTGCAGTGCACGGAGAGCAAACACAGATATTTATACATGACCACGATTTTGCATAATGGCTTTATTGGGGGCAAAGTGAACCCTCAAACATTCAATTTTATCTAAATATTTTGAATTACAAAACTTTGAATTAAAAAAAACCCTCTGAATTAAAAGGGAAATGCATTTATTGGTTATTAACTACACACATTGAGCACTTCAGACCCAGTAAAGAATGTGGCGCGTGGCATCACAGCACCAGGGCAGAACCAGGCCAACACAGCCCCCCAGAACCAGGCCCTGGAATAGAGCATCTCACTGTGCCCTCTAGTGGTCTCAGAAGCAACCAGCAACTGATCACCCTGCAGAACTGGGGAGCAATCCCCCCACCCGGTTCACCCACACAGAACATCACCTTTTTTATTGCATCTTGTGTCCCAGACCATGATGTTGCCATCTCGTCCACCGGTACAGAACACGGCTGTGGGGAGGAAACGGTGACCAACAAGTGATCAGCAAACCCAGCCAAGAGCGCAGTTCAAGCCTCCCAATTATCTGTGACATGCTAGTACTATCACCGATGCTGGAGCTGAAGAAATACTTGGTTCAATGACAAGAGAACAGTGAAGATGCGCAGAAGGGGTATCAGGGCTCAAGATGCTCATGTTAAACAAAAATCCGGCAGAGTCATGCCTGGCTAAGTCATCTTAAAACCACACAAAGTGCCAGTAAGAAATCCAGCACAGTTAGGGAAGAACAGTGACCGATGACATTCAAAGTCTACCCAGTGCGTACCAAGCCAGACTGTCAGATATAGCAAGCGCTTCCTAGTTAGCCTCCTATCAGTCAGCCCTGCAGGGAGAGCGCAGCTGGAGACAAAAAGCGATGAGCATCAACATGGGGCAGACAAGTACTACTGCTCGAGTCTCCGGGTCCTTGATAGAATGTTCTAGACGCAGGCATGAGCACTCAACAGAGCAAGGAGGGTGCCAGTCACTGGAACATTCTCTTGCTGAACCTACTCCCGATGTAAGAGAAAAACCAGAAAGGCCTCAAGGATGCCTGGTTCTATTCCCCAAGGGCTAGGGGCGACCCGGGTGACGGATACGGGCAGGTGTGACTGGCTGCAGCAGGGAGAGAAGCGCCGAGTCTGACAGCACATTGTTGGCTACCTGGACCCGACTCTAACTCAAGAACAGCAAAAAACCAAAGGAAAGTGGCCTGGAGTAAGTGTCTGGGGAAAGGGAGCCGACACAAACCCTGGTTCTTGCTGCAGACAGATCCTCAAGCTTGGGTAAGAACTGAGAATTTACAGAAGCAGCCATGAACCGCCGGGACTGGAGCGACAGACTCCAAGGGGAAAAAATGATATTAAATTTTGTAAAATGCTGTGTCAGCCAAGTCCCACCCTTCTGTTTCCCAATGACCACAAGGAGTGACTTTAAGGAAGATAACTGAGATCGAAGATGTCGACAGCTTTTGCTCCCCCCCAAAAAAATTCACGGAGAGGAAGAGGGCAGGATGCGGTGGAGAGGCGCAGCCCTGCAAGGCTGGGGGGGGCGGGAGGAGCAGGAGAGGGACACTGGGTCACCCACTGCCCGGAGCCCTAGACTGGAGAATGGGACCGGGAAGGAGCTGGGAGGACAGAGGGACGCAAACATTTGCGATGTCTCATTGTTGGTGCTTTTCCCCGGAGGAGCCCAGGAAGGTACAGACGGCCGCTCAGAAGCAGAAGCAGAAGCAGAAGCAGAAGCAGAAGCAGAAGCCCCAGAAGGGGCTGGGCCTCTCAGCACAGCCACAGGAGTGCCCCACGCGCAGGAGGAAACCTCCTCTGTAGCTTGCCGGCTGGACCCTGTGGTCTGGGGGCACTCAGAGGCCAATCTAAATCAGAGTACCACGGACTCCTGGGGGCTGGAAAAACACACCAGCCCAATTTTGATTTTGGTGCTTCTCTGACTATAGTGTTATAGGCTCAACATGCAGAATTTTAATTAAAGGCCAAATGATCTGGTGTTTCCCCTTAGCTAATATCCCTTTAATTTATTACCTTAGATTAGGCCATAGGGGGGAGGGATCGTTTTGGGGCCACACTGGCCCGGTGGGGCTTGGAGGACCTTATGGGGTGCCAGGGATCAAACCCAGGTCGGCTGTGTGCAAGGCGAACACCCTCCCTGCTGGAACATTTGGCTCCAGGCCAATCTCGGTGGTCTTGAAAGTGAAAGCCCAGGGGCGCAGCACTCCAAAGCAGAGAGAAGACGCGGTTGAGGCAGGAAGCAGGGCTTCTCTGCCACCTGGGGCACCACAAAAATGGGAGCCAGGGCCAGGAAGTGTAGCCCAGCAAACAACCATAGTCTGGGCCTTGGCCGAGAGCACCCAACCCTCCCCCACTAAGCGCAGTAGCCTGGATGACCCACAGGGTGTCACGGCCAGGTATGTACCAGCCCCATCCCAATCCCAAGAGAAACAACAAAAAGAAACAACAAAAGAGGGGAATGACCCAGAAACATGCAGAGCTGAGAAACGATGCCAGTGATTCTTCAAGGGCCCAGCTTCAACACCGGTGCAGTAGATTTTTTTTTTTTCCTTTTTGGGTCACACCTGGCGATGCACAGGGGTTACTCCTGGCTCTGCACACAGGAATTACTCCTGGCGGTGCTCAGGGGACCATATGGGATGCTGGGAATCAAACCCAGATCGGCCATGTGCAAGGCAAACGCCCTACTCGCTGTGCTATCACTCCAGCCCCTGGTACAGTAGATTTTAAACTGAGATCAAACCATCTTAGACTGAGTGAGACCCAGGTTCGACCCCTTGCATTCTGCCAGAAGCCCGTAAAACCCGAGCACCACCAAGTGTGGACCAGCACCTCCCACAAAGAAACTGAAACACTGGGGCTGAGCGACAGTCCAGTGTAGGGAGCTGCCCCTGCTTGCACTACATAGTTTCCCAAGCCCCACCAAGAGGGACCCTGAACACAGAGGCAGGAGTGAACCCTGAGAGCCACTGTGGAGGGCAGGGGCCCGAGTGACCCCTTCTCCCTGCCAAGCACTTGTAATGGAACGGAGGCCACGGTTACCTGATTCTGGAACTAAAGCCAGACATTTCTTTGAGATAAAATGCTTATCTATTAGTAAAAAAAATCAGTAAGAACACAAGCGAAACAAAGCGCTCAGACAAGCCCATGAAGCCCCCACATTTGTATACGATCACTCTGCAAATCCTCCCCTCTACAACAGCGATTTGAACAACAGTCAATTGTGAGCAAAAAACACTGCGAGCACACGGGGGAACTAGGCCACCAAAAGCGATTACATTGTACATTTGTAGGTGGAGAACCCGCTTAGCTTATCAGGCCAAGTCCATGTCACGAGCAGAACATGGAGCTGAAATCACGTTTCACAAGTAGCTACTGAGTACTCAATAGAGGCTTCAGACTTTAAAGTACAAGAACAGACCTATTCTGCCTACATCTGTGCAAGTACAGAATATTTATTGGAGATGCTTAACTTTAAGGGACAAACTGCAGCTAATGTTCCTATGATGGGACTAAAATCCAACTTAACATCACGGAGGTTTTGTGCTCAGACCTATTCCCCCACAGGCTCGCATGGGGTCCTGGGTCTGAGCCTGGCATTTGCAGGACCTCCCAGAAGCCAGCGGGGCACGGGCAGAGTATGCTGCGGCCTCTGGTGCCCAGAGCGGGGGGAAGGCAGGACCGGACAGACCTACCTTTCTCGGACTTCGAAAAGGCAACCGACTTGAGGCTGCACTGGTGGCCTTTGCACGTGCCCATCAGCTCGCCAGCTTGTACATCCCAGAACTTTGCTGTCTGATCACCTGCTGCCGTGACCTTTGAAAGCAAGAAGTCGGCTGTCAGAGGGAGACTCAACACCAGCATACACCCCGGGAACAGGAAAAGAAAAGTCACCTACAAGTTTAAATTCTCCGGGAACCCAGGCAAGATCAAAGACAGCATTCCAGTGTGCCATCCATTCTAAACAAAGAAAACAGTGCGTGAGAAGCCCAGCCTTGAACCGTGGAAGCCCGTTAACAGAGTTTAAATGTGCCAAGAAATGCAGCGAGCAGATCAGAGAGGCCAGCAGGAGACGGTCCAGGCTCCGACTCCAGACACTCCCTTTGCTGCCACCAGAGGGGCGCTATGGTGGAGCAGCCCCACCTGTTCACTGTTGATGAGTAGCTTCTCTGGAAATGGAAGCTTCCTTAAACATTCTCCAGATCAAAGACTGCAGTGACTAAAGAGACGGTACGGCTGGCCTTGCCCGTGGCTGGCCCCCGGCATGGAGTCCAGAGCCCCACTGGGTGTGGTCCGCACCACCACTCTCTGATTCGTGGTATCGTCAGATGGAGTTTCGGGCGGTTTGAGCCTAGACCTTGCACGTGTGGCCTCCTGTTCCCCACAAGCCTATTCCAGTCCTGATCTCCTGATTCTAGTCTACATTCTCCTGCTCTCTGCTCTGTTAGTGTCTGTCTGGCCCTCCACCAAGTGCTCCTGCCTGATAGGCCTGAGTCAGTCTGCCTGGGCACGGCCCAAGCACCTGTGTGATTGACTGCAGGCTCGCTGTTGTCATGTGTGAATGGCAGGCTGAGGTCTGCAACCACCCACAAATGAAACAGACCCAAGACCCAGTGAGCGCCAAACAGCTGAGGAGAAGGGGCAGGATAAGAAACTAAACCCAGCCCGCACAGACTCCTGTCATCTTACTCCATGAGAATTTTCTCTTTCAACACATGGATACCTGGGGCATTGTTTTTCTACATGATTTATCATCTTTGATGTGTCGTCCCCCCCCCCCCCCCAATATGCCGTATTCCAACTATTTCTAGTTGCCAACCAAGGGCTTTTCAGGTCAGTGGCACTTTGGTCCCTGCATGGGAGATGGCCGGTCAGCATCTCCAACTATAATTAAGCTTGAGACTTAACACTGAATAGAATGAGACATTTCAAAGCTTCAAAGACTCTCTCCTTCTTGACCTGCAGGCAAAGGCATGAACATGTAACTGATAGCAAGTTTTTATCCTGATTCCAAAATGGACTTGGAGTTGAGAATGTCTTCACATAATTTCCTTGAGGTTTTATGAAGTAAAATGCATTTAAAGTGAAATATGCCCACCTAGGCTTACCTTTGATGCACTTCTTTCTACTGGATTGTGATTCTGTGTTATATAATCGAACGAAACCTTCTTCATTGGCAACTGCTAGTATATGCTCCATGTTAGGGGCTAAATAAAAGTGCAGAGGAAACAAATTTAAAACTGATTTAAAGGATGATATAAGTAATACAATTGAAATTCCCTGAAAACCGTTATCTGAAACGAAGATGCTTCTACATAAAGAGCACCTGATGAGGAAGTGAAGACTTTTTCAGACTGCGTAAAGAGGGCCACGACAGCTAGATCAACAAACGGCTTTAAACCACTAATACAATCATTTTTGAACAATATCTTATTTAGAGGAGGACCGAACCCAGGGCTATAGTTAGGGTGAGAGTCGCACCGGTCAGTGATTAGGACTATTTTTTTTTTTTTTTTTTGCTTTTTGGGTCACAGCTGGCGATGCACAGGGGTTACTCCTGGCTCTGCACTCAGGAATTACTCCTGGTGGTGCTCAGGGGACCATATGGGATGCTGGGAATCGAACCCGGGTTGGCCGTGTGCAAGATAAACATCCTACCCGCTGTGCTATTGCTCCAGCCCCTGATTAGGACTATTTTGATAGAGATCAACTAAAGGCTTATAAAGATCAATTTAAGGTCTATAAGTCTTAAATTCAGTTTGTAGCTTTTTATCTGCCCCCTCTGAAACAGTAATGAGGGACAAGCACCCTCCACTGCTGCTATTCAAATGTTCCCCAAGGGGCTGAGAGTAATTAGCTCACAAGGGGAAACTTCTGCACAGGAAGGCTTTCAACAGGGCTGCATCTTTACAATCTCCCCTCAGAAGTTGTTCAAGGGACTACATATATGTAAAAGGTAAAGGTAAAGGCCCTCCCGTTGATCGTCGATTTGCTCGAGCGGGCCCAGTAACGTCTCCATTGGAGACTTTGTTGTTACTGTGTCTGGCATATCGAATACTCTCGGTAGCTTGCCGGGCTCTCCGAGAGGGGCGGAGGAATCGAACTCGGGTCGGCCATGTTGGCCGCGTGTAAGGCGAACGCCCTACCGCTGTGCTATCGCTCCAGCCCACGTAACAGATCATTAATAATGAGTTATAATCATCTTGAGAGGAAATACACAAAAATTTTGCCAAGAGATGAAGTAAAGTCTATTTTGTAAAACAGGAGAAAGCAGTCTTAGAAAAGCCCCGGGCCTCTGTCTAGCTGAGGCATCCTGGAAAGAAGCGGCCCAGCATCCTTCTGTGGTGGGGGACATAGTTTTCAGAGCAGCCTCCAGACCGACTCTTTTTTTCCTTTTCTTTTTTGGGGTCACACCCGGCGATCCTCAGGGGTTACTCCTGCCTCTGCACTCAGGAATCACTCCTGGCAGTGCTCAGGGGACCATATGGGATGCTGGGAATCGAACCCACGTCGGCCGCAAGCAAGGCAGATGCCCTACCCGCTGTGCTATCGCCCCAGCCCCTCCAAACCGACTCTTACCTGAAGAGAAGGTGCATCCGAAAGGGGGCACGGGGACGCCCGTCTCACCATACGAGGTGTGCTCGTCATGGCAGCTGCACTGGTAGCCAACCAGCAGGGACTGCAGCGGGTACCGGGAAGGCCAGCCTGCAACGATACCAGGCCCATCCCCTCCTGAACTGTGGTCTCAACCATCAGTGCATGTGCTAAGGTGAGGGGGCAGAAAATCTGATTCACAGTAAGTTGATTTTTTTTTAATCATCAGCGAATTTCTGGTTTGTGTATTTATTCCAGATACCCCAGGTCACATAAAAATGTCCTAGATCACATTTCAGTAACTTTACTCTGGAATACTGCAGCAAGAAATGCAAGACACCCCAATATCTGAGGGGACAGTGCTGGGCTTATCTCTTAGACGAGCTGCCCCTAGTTCATTTAAGATCACTGCTGTGCCTTAGAGCTTTCTCAGGTGGCCGAGAGAGTGAACCTGGCTCTATGCCTGGCACCAGCCAAAGCAGTTCCCCAGTCAAGCCTGGTCCCACTCCCTCTCCCAAGAGACACCATAAAAGCATTAGTATTAAAATGGACATGGATACTTTTCCATTGCAATTTTGTTTCCAGAGCACCCAATCAAAAGTGACTGTGAACTCTTACTACCCAAATCACATGAAGCCCATGGCCAAGGGAAGCCCAGAATCCAGGGTGGAAGGCCGGTGACCTTCCAGAGGGTCACAAGCCCAGGGGCCCTTACACAGGGCGGCCTCTGCAGGCAAGAAAACCAAACCCAAGTGAGTGTCCCAGGACGTCCAAGCATGCTCAGGGCACACACATATGTGATCTGCCCTGGGGGCCAAAAGTGCAATCCCATCTGTTACACTTGGCAACCACATCCTATGCAGAGACATGCACAACATGCACGTAAGAGGAAACGTCACTTCATAACAGTTCCTGAGACCCGAATGCTCATTTAGTATAGATGAAAACCATACATTTAGAGAGAAGGGCCACATGGAGGGCTGGCTCCACAGCTCCCGGAGAAGGCACCAGCTTCCAAAAAGAGCCGAGATCACCGGGAAGTCCCAGATGGGGTAGGTGCCGCATCCCGCCTCCCCCAGATGGAACCCCGGTGACCAGAAGCCTCCACAAGCATAGCTCAAGTATGCAGGAATTAGGAATTTTCCTCCAAACAAACATCTCTGTATATATAAAGTGATCAATGGGAAGTAAATCACCCAACGTTTCTCCCTGAAAATCAGAGTTAAGTTTGGAGCATGGTCACAGCCCCAGAAGCACAAGGACTTAATGCAGAACCCAGAAGCTTGGAGCAGAAAAGTGAACGGACTATGACTATGCGTTAATCCAGGCCATCATGTCTGCCCAGAGGGAAAAGGGTGTTGCTCCCCTCCTCCCTCTGGAAAGAAAGATGGCGGCCACATGGGAGCCTTGTGGACAGCAGGTATGAGCCGGGGGTGCGGGGGCGACTAAAACCTCATGGGAAGGGGGGCGTTCCGGTCTGTCCTTCACGCCCTACCGAGGTCACCAGCTGCCCCCCACGAGCGGCTCTCCGGCACGGCCACGGCCCCAGAAGCAAAAGGACTTAATGCAGAACCCAGCAGCTTGGAGCAGAAAAGTGAACGGACTATGCTTCACGCCCTACCAAGGCCACCAGTTGCCCCCCACAAGCGGCTCTCCAGCACGGCCACGACTCCAGAGCACAGAAACCAATCTCTTAATTATCTGACTCTCAGTAGAAATACTTTCAGGGTTAATTATCAAAATAGCGGAAATCCAAAACCAACATTTAATTCTTGAACCCAGCTGTAAAAAGCGAATCACTTCACAATGCTTTCTCAGCATGTCTGATTTGGGGGGAGGGGGTAAACTGTAAATAATAGTGGTGCATCTTTTATTGCAACAATGAATCTAATCAAAGCAGATTGAGTGTCAACTAGAATTCATCTGCCTCGCAGGCATTGGGAGGGGTGGGGGTGGGGTTTTACTGGGGTTCTTCGTGGTAAAAAATAAGTAATGGTAAAGGGAAAGGTGTTTGATATTTGCATGACTGAGACCTAAACCTGAAAGCTTTGTAACTTTTCCCAGTGATTCAATAAATAAATAAATTATTTTAAAAAAAGAGAAAACCATACATTTAGATGCTACCTGAATAAAGCGTGACTATCACACAACCGTCCTTCACCAGAAACCCCTCCAATGCCATGCCCTCTACCAGGTCGGTTTTCTGCCACCACTGAGCCAATGTCCCTCCCCATCAACCTCCCCCCAAGCTTTCTACTGAAGACTCACATTTTATCTTTTTGAAGTAAACCTCTTTGATTTGGGAAATTATGGGGGTGGAGGGTGCACATTTATGAAAACAAGGGCTTCTCCAGAATAGAAAATGCTAGGGATAACTACAAAAATCAAAGAATGGAAGGAATAACAGCTCCCAGAATGGGGTATGCACTCAAGACGCATCTGCCCCCCATTATACTTTCTTTCTCTTGCTCTCTTTTATTTTGGACCACATCTGGTGATGCTCAAGGCTACTCTTGGCTCTGTGCTCAGAAATTGCTCCTGGTATCACTCAGGGGACCATATGGAGTGTTGATCAAAACTGGGTCAACAGTGTTCAAGGCAAATGCCCTACCTGATGTACTATCTCCCCTCACCCCAAGTATACTTTTGATTTGTGCTTCTCATCAGAAACATGATTTGGAGAAGGTGGCTTAGCCTGACATAACCCGGAAAACAGGTTTCAGTAGTTCAGAGACGACCTGAAGGAATCAGCACGAAGTTGGGGAAGGAGTCACGGAGAACATCCAAACGTGGGTATTGAGGCGAAGACGCCATTAAAGTGTGTGGAGAGCCCAGTGATAGCATGGCAGAGATCACAATAGCCAGGGTAAAGAAACCAAAGCCTTTGTTCAAACCACACATCTGTGATTTTAAAGCATGAAACCAAGGCTGGAGTGACAGTACAATGGAAAGGGAGTTGGCCAGGGTTCGATTCCCCCCAGCCAAGCCTGAGCACCATGGGTGTGACCCCCTAAAACAAACAAACAAACAAACAAAACCCAGCAAAGTGTGAAAGCAACATTTGAAACCCAAAAGGTCAAAGCTAGAACTGGGTGAATTAGAAGGTCTACTTGAGAAACTCATTCTTTGGTAAGACAAGTTCATGACCCTTAACCCTGCCCTCTGCCTGCGGGGCCTCAGCAACACACCTTGGCATTAGAGTCTGCTCCAGGTCCCCCCTTGGCCCGGCCCTCGCCAAGCCTTGTCTGCAACACAAAGGGGAGCCCTGCAGCTTCCCGCTGAGATTTCCCAGCACCTCGGGTAAGTGTCCTGAGAACCAGGACCCAGGTACGTAGGGTAGCCATTTCTGTCCTCTAACAGGTCAGAGCAGTCCGGCCCCCATCGTCCTTCCCTCCAGTGCTTTCTTCACTCAGGAGGCATTTACTCCCCCACTTCGATCTCTCCCCTGGCATCTGTGCCTCAGGAGCCCCGGAGTGTGGGACACAGTGGGGGAAGTTGGGGGTGGGGTGGGGAGAGAAGGGAGCTGCCACCCAGGGGCAGTGGGAGAGGAATGCCCTTATCTGATGGAATCCCACTTCCCGCTACTGGAACCAGGCTTGCTGAGGGTATTTAAGGAGCCCCCTTGTTCTCCAAGCTGGACCAGAATTCCCGAGCCTCTGTCAGCAAGCTTTATTAGCTGCTTCCTGAGAAGGTCCTGGTGCCCATCTTAGCCTGCAGCAGGGCTTTCCTGTCTTTTTCTTTTTTAGCTCTTTGGGTCACACGCGGCGAGGCTCAGGGGTTACTCCTGGCTCTGCATGCAGGAATCACTCCTGGCGGTGCTCGGGGGACCATATGGGATGCTGGGAATCGAACCCAGGTCAGCGGCGTGGAAGGAAAACGCCCTGCCTTAGCCGCCTGTGCTCCAGCCTGGTTCCTGTCATTTTGACCCAAAAGACGCCTAAGAGAAGACACAGACAGTTCCCATAAGGGCACCCGGTTCTGTGAGCCGTGCTACCAACAAAAGTTTTAATTCTTGCTCAGCGATCAAAACTAGTACTCGACATCGCTCCGATCAACTGCAATGATTCCATCAGAAAGAAGGAATGCAAACAGAGCCCTTGGGCCACAAGAAAACATCTATTCTTGGCAAGGAGGGGCACGCTAGATTCTCAGCAGAGGGGCTTCCTCTAGGATGAGCCGCCAGACCGCGAGCTGCTGCACCCGTGGGAGCTTCAGGAGACCGGCTGCGACCGCCGGCCTGCGCACTCGGGCGCGCTCCAAGGCCCGGGGCAGGCCGGGGATCCTGCAGCGCTCCCCCTCGGGGCAGGCCACGGGGCCCCTCCGCACGCTCCGCGGCGCCGCTAAGGCTTGCTCGCGTCCGTCGCGGGGGCGTCCGGGCCGGGAGGCGACCAGGGCTGCAGGGAGCGCCGCGGCGCGGGCGGCGGGCAGCGGGCAGCGGGCCGGGCCGGACGCGACCGGCCTCCCGCCCCCCGAGGCACGCGCAGGAATGCGGGGCGCGCGGCCACTCCCCGCGCAGGCCGCGGCGCCGACAGGCCGGGGCTCGCCAGGGCCGACCCGCGCGAGGCGACCCCTCGCCGCCGCCGCCCCGCGCTTTGTTCCCGGGCACCCCGCCCCCGCCGGGCCGCGGCCCCCACCCGGCCCGCGCGCGGCCCCCGCCCCGCCACGTGCGGCGGCCCCGCCGCGCCTCGCTCCCGGGGCCCGCGCGGGGGCGCCCGGTCGGCGGCGGTTGCGGCCGTTACTCACCGCCCCTCGGGCCGCCCAGCCGGGGCTGGCGGAGCACCGAGCTGAAGAGCATCTGCGCCCCGGTCGAGGCCGCGGGAGGAGAAGGCGCGCGAAGGCCGCGGGTCCTGCGGGCCGCGCCGCTCGTCGCGCTCGCCCCCCGCCGCCGCCGCCCCGACTCCCGCCGCCGCGAGCCCCGGCCGCCAAACTCCCCGCCAAAGTGACGTCACGGCCGCCGATTGGCTCCCGCCGCGCCGCGCGCGCCCAGGCCCCGCCCCCCGCCCAGCAGCGGGAGCCCGCGCCGTCCCGGCCCCGACTGCGCGTGCGCAGGCACGGCCGCCGTGGCGCCGGCGAACGGCCGGGGCGGCCCGGCGCATGCGCAGCCCAGGCGGAGGGAAACCCCGCGAGAAGGAGGGCGAGAAGAGGGTGGCTGGGGGGCCGAGTTCGCGGCCTGAGGGGGCTTGTTCCGTGGCCGCCCCCCCGGGATCATGGCGGCGAGCTCCACCAAGTCTTTCCTGGCAGATGCCGGCTACGGCGAGCAGGAGCTGGACGCCAACTCGGCCCTGATGGAGCTGGACAAAGGTAGTGGGCGTGGCGCGTGGCGGGGCGGGCGCCCGGGCGCGGCGGGGCGCCTGCGCGAGGGGCGGGCCCGGGGCGGGCGGATGTCCGGGGCGGAGCCAGGGCGGGGCGCCTGCGCGAGGGGCGGGGCGGGGCGGGGCTTCGTCGGGAAAGGAGGCGGAGTCGACACGTCTGCGCCTCGCGGGGACCTGCTGGGCCTCGGGTTTGGAGGAGGGTTGCCCGTTCTCCAAACGATTCCTTCGAGCGCTGAACGAGCGGGGCGGGGCCTCGTGGTTCGTTCCACGCGGTGGAGGGTCTCGGCCCATCGGCGTGTTCCTCTGGGGCGTGTGCTCCGGGGCGGGCGGCCCGACACGCGGGGCCCGACACGGGGCGCGGCGTGGTCTGCGCGTGGCCGTGAGCTCGGAGTCTCAGCAGAACCTGGTTTCAGCCTTTCGAGGCTTTTGGTTGTAGCGAGCAGATCTCAGCCCCCAGTAGCAGATCATAGTAATAGCATATTTCATTAAAACATGGTATGTAGTTTAGTTTTTGGTTTTGGAGGCAAGACGGGTGATACTCAGGGCTGAGTTCTGGCTTTGTGCTTAGGGGTGACCCTGGCGGTGCTGGGCAGCCCCGTGTGGCACCCGATTGCCGTCCTGTGGCTCCTGCCCGGGTTCAGGACTTTAGGCCTGGAGTCCGTTAGCCTTTACCTGATGAGAGCTGCTAGGATCGGAAGGCTACAGGCTCCAGGTGTCCTCCAGTTCCCAGACTCCACACCAGAGTCTGCCAGGTGCCCAGAAGGGAGTCGTTGCACAAACCTTTTCTTTTTTTTTTTTCTTTTTGGGTCACACCCGGCGATACACAGGGGTTACTCCTGGCTCTGCACTCAGAAATTACTCCTGCGGTGCTCAGGGGACCATATGGGTTGCTGGGAATCGAACCCTGGTCGGCAGCATGCAAAGCAAACGCCCTACCGGCTGTGCTGTCTCCAGCCCCACGAACCTTTTCTTTATTTGATTTTGGTATCACACTGCGGATACTCAGGGGTTACTCCTGGCTCTGTACTCCAGGATTACTGCTGGTGGTGCTATGGGCACCATATGGGATGCCAGAGATGGAATCCGGGTTGGCCCTATGCAAGGCAAAGGCCCTACCCACTGTACTATAAGCCCAGCTCAGATATTTTCATAGGGTTTCTTTCCCCATATCCCCTGGGTCAGACTCTCTACTCCATCATAGAAGTGAAGCAAAACTGCCCCAGGTCTGCCCTAGGAAAACTTTTCTTCATTCAGGCGGGCAGTGCAGCTCATGAGCAAACTCGGGATGGAGAATGTGTGCTGTGGTGGTAGGGGTGCACTTCCAGAGAATAGTGAGGAGATGGGATGGGCTCCATCATACACAGTCCAGCGCCTGCCGGTTGGCCTGGTGATAAGGCAGTGGAGATGGAAAGATAGCCATGGCCAGTTCCCAGAGGGCAGGAGCTGCTGAAAAGATGGACTCTAAGAGCTGAGAAACAGGACAGGGGTAAGGAGCTTGCCTCGCTCTCTGCCGACCTGGTTCCACCCCTGGTACCTGTGGTCTCTGGGCATGCCCAGTGTGATCCAAAACCCCCTGCTCTGGGCCTCGGGCCACTCCCAGCAGATCTGACACAGCCTCTGGGACTGTACCCCCAATCCCCAGATGCCTGGGATCAGCCAGAGTTTGCTGTGGATCAGGCACACACCTTAAGTTCTCTTACTCTTTTTTTTTTTTTTTGCTTTTGGACCACACAGCAGATGCTCAGGGCTAATCCTGGTTCTGCACTCACTCACGAATTACTTCTGGCAGTACACAGGGACCATATGGGATGCTGGCAGTGGAATCCAGGTTGGCTGCGTGCAGGACCAGCACCTTACTTGCTGTGCTCTCTCTCAGCCCTTCTCTCTCTCTCTTTTTAATGAGATAGACTTGAAGATGTATTCCATTTCCATTCGGTGGTTTTTGTTTTCCTTGTTTGGGGGCCTACCTCCAGAGGTGCTCAGGGGCCCTTATGGTGCTAGAGACTGTCCCGGCTTCTCTGACCCGCAGAGCCATGTGGCTCTTTCCCACCCTGTAGTTCCATTTTGATTCCTATCCCGCAGCCTAACCCTATCCTTAGCCTGCAGAACTAATTCCCTTGAGCTTCCTGGCACGTCTGCGGGTGCTTCGCCTTTTCCAGATGCTACAGACATGAGCCGGCTCTTTATTCTTTTGGGGTGCGAGCCTGCGAGCTCACTGTCTCCCGGGCTGCATGGGCTTACTCTGCTGACCTTGCCATCCGTGCCGTCTCTGGGGCTGCTTCGTTCTCTCAGGAATGGACCTGCCAGCCCATCAGTCCCTCACCAGTCCCTTTCCACGGCTTGGGAGCAGCCCACGGCCTGTTGGAGGATGGTCGTGTACAGTCTGGGCTGTTGCTGAGTAGCCTGCCGCGAGCATCTGCTTACTGGTGTTCATGGATGAGTCTCCTTTCACCTGGATAAACCCAGTGCGGTGGGTGTGTGCAGACACACTGCCAAGCATCCTGCCTGCAGTGTCTGAGTCGCAGCTGTCCCGGTGTCTCTGGTAGTAGCTGATGTTATTGTCAGTCTTAAAAATATCTTGCCTTTCTAGTGCTTGTGTTGTCTTGTTAATTTCCATTTCCCTGTTGGCTAGCAATATTAGTAATGATTCCCGTGCTCATATTTGCCTCCTGTATTTCCCTTTTAATAAAATCTCTTTTCAGATTTGGCCCATTTTAAAAATGGGTTGTCTTCTTGTTACTGAATCTAAGTTTGGGTTCACGAAAGCCAGTTCTGGGGACATGCAAGAAGAGCAGGTGTGCTCGGGCTGGCAGCCTGAGGGTGGAGAACTTGCCCCGAAACGCTCTGAAGGCCAGACTGGGGCTTATTGTCAGACGGCAGGAAAGTCAGGGAGAATGGGAAGGGCCAGAGTTGGCCACAGCCCAGGCAGCTGCAGTGCGGTTTGGTGTGGGGTGGGGGCGTCTGTACCCCCTAAAACTGAGATAACTTTGTTCAGCCACATCTGGGGGCTGGCTGGAATGCCTTTGACAGCCTGTGGGGTGTGCCCCCGTGCATGGGCCTGGTGTTGCTCTTCACCTGTCCACGGTAACCCTGGCTTCATGTCAACAAAAAGTGCGAGAGGACATCCCTGGGCACTGGGGACAGGGCGCAGGCTGAGGGGAGGGGTGAGCTGTGAGAAGCAGGTGTGTGGCAGGGCCACGGGTACCCCTGTCAGCTCAGCCAGGGAAAATGGGTTTGGGGACCTGAGGGGTAGCGTAGTGGGCTCAAGCACCTCCGTGTCCTGCACACGGCCCGCCCAGGTTCGATTCCTGGCACTGCCAGGAATAAGTCCTGAGTACAGCCAGCCATAAGACCCCGAAAGAAAAAATAAATAAAAATAATTTTTCAGTGGACTTTTGGGGAACCAAAGAGAGCCCAGTCAGCTGGAGTGTGTGCTGTGCCTGCAGGATGCTTATTGGCATGGCATGGTCCCCGGAGCACCTTGAGGAATGACAGCTGAGCAGTAAACTGAGCACTGAGTGCAGGAGTAAGCCCTGAACACTGCCGAGTGTGCCCCCCCTGAAACATCAAGACAAAACAGATTTTTCTTTGTGTTTAAAAGTTGCAGTTCGGGGCTGGAGCAATATAGCACAGCGGGTAGGGCGTTTGCCTTGCACGCGGCCAACCTGGGTTCGATTCCTAGCATCCCATATGGTCCCCTGAGCACCGCCAGGGGTGATTCCTGAGTGCAGAGCCAGGAGTAACCCCTGTGCATTGCTGGGTGTGACCCAAAAAAGAAAAAAAATTGCAGTTGATCAAGTTTCTATTTTTTTTAAAGGTGTTGCACTAGAATTACTCTTAATCATCAAGAGTCTTTCACAATTGGGATTGCTGATTTTCCTTTTTTTGGCTTTTTGGGCCACACCCATCGGCGTTCAGGGCTTACTCCTAACTATTCCGGGATCACTTCTGGAGGGGCTTGGGCTACCATAAGCGGTCTCAGGGATGGATCCTGGCTCAGCTGCGTGCAAAGCCGGCGCTGTCCCCACTGGGCTGTATCCCAGCTCCAGGGGTCTGTGCCTGACCACTGAGCGGGCTCTCTCCCGCCTCTGTCCACAGGGCTGCGGTCTGGCAAACTGGGCGAGCAGTGTGAGGCCGTCGTCCGCTTCCCCAGGCTCTTCCAGAAGTACCCGTTCCCCATTCTCATCAACTCTGCCTTCCTGAAGCTGGCGGATGTGTTCCGAGTGGGGTGAGTCTCACAGCCCTGGTGCTGCCTGTTCTTGAGGCTTGGGAGGTCGCTTCCAGGGGTGCTCAGGATCCCCCTGCGTCTGTGCTCTCGAGTCGCACTCGGGGTCAGGACTGGCACGCTGCCCTTCAGCGGGAGGCAGGACCAGGGCAGAGAGCAGCACTGTTGGTTGGTGTGAGGCTTTACGATGTTTGAAGTAAGCACGAGGAGCACTTCGTTCCTCGTGTGAGAGCGGCAGACGCCGACGCCTTGTTCTGCCTCAGCGTGCGGCAGGGAGCCGACGCTGCTCTCCCCGGGGAGCGTCCCACAGTGCGAGGCCACGAGCCCTGTGGAGAGCCCAGGCCGGGCGCATCCCACTGTCCCCGTCACCGCACCGTCCCCTCTGCTCTCCTGCGCTCACAGTCACTGCGGGTCACACGGGGGGCTCTGGCCCGCTGCTGCTCGGGTGCGGGCAGGCGCCCCCCCGCCCCCTCGGGACAGACAGGAAGTGGGTGCTTGCAGATGTGGGCTGGGTGCTGGCGCCTGGAGCTGGGACTCCAGGTGCGACCTCCCCCGGGTGCTCTGCTCTCTCTAGAAACAACTTCCTGCGGCTCTGCGTCCTCAAAGTCACCCAGCAGAGTGAGAAGCACCTGGAGAAGATTCTCAATGTGGACGAGTTTGTGAAGAGAATCTTCTCTGTGATTCACAGTAACGACCCTGTGGCGCGGGCCATCACGCTCAGGTGACGCTGCCCAGAGATGGCTTCTGCGCTTGAGACTTCGAATCTTACGGGTTTAGTTTGCTTTTCAGCTAGATGCAGGGTCCCTCCATGCCGTTCAGGCTTTGACCTGTTCTGGTTCGAATTTATTGCCTGTCTTGCATTGGGATGGTCTCTTGACTTGCTCCAGATATAAGGAGCCTGTGCTCACGTTGAACTTGACAGGTTTCTTTTTCACTCTTGTGCTCAGGGATCACTCCTGTTGGGGCTCAGGGGGACTATTTTGGGACGCTGGGGATCCCCACTGCTGTACTATTTATTTCTGTTTCTTGTCCATTTTCTGTATTTAGCTGTGTGCCTCGTGTTTTGGGGTGCACTCGCCTTGCACATGGCTGACCTCGCTTCAATCTCCAGCATCCCATATGCTCCCCTGAACCCTGCCAGGAGTGACCCTGAGCACAGAACCAGGAGTAAGTCCTGAGCACAGCCAGGATTGCACAAAAACAAAAAAGGAAGATATTAAAAGCCGTTTCTTTTGAAAAAAAAAAATCATCTAACCTGTCTTGAAATATGTCACGTATTTAGACCGTTTTAGTATCTTATTTATAATTTTTACTGCCCAATCAGTTATGTCACTACGTTATCAATAAGACAAGTCAAGTTGAAAATCACTTACAGAGCAAAACGCTTGTTGGGAGGGCTTGTTTACTGCAGGGTTTTGCCGTCTTTTGCTGAAAGAGATTTTGAGAATCACTTTTTGTGGCTTATACCACAGACAGTAGAGGTTTTTTTTTTATCAGATTCACGAATTTTAACACCGAGTGGACTGATTTTTCAAGTTATTCCTCACTATTGCAGTTTCTGATATGAGCGCCAGGGGGCGTCCTTTGTTCTTGATGTTGAGGTTTGAGAATCATAGAACGACAGTTGTTTGCTGATGTGGAGAAGACTGAAAAGACCAGCGCTTTTTTGTTGAGCCACACCTGGTGGGCAGGACACACTCAGTGCCCAAGATTGTTCCTGATGGTGCTCAGGGGATGTTGTGGTGCCAGGAATTAAACCCCAGGTCTCCCCATGCAAGGCAGTTCCCACTGGACTTTCCCACCGGGCCAGGTCCCGGACTCCATATTGGAGTCCCACTGCTTGGTTAGAAGTGACATTACTTAGTCTTGAAAAAGTAGATGTTTAGGGGAGGCAGGAGCATACCTCGAGATGCTCGGGGTGTCCTCCTCACGCTGTGCTCAGGTATCGTTTCTCATGGGTTCGGGAGACTGTTTGTGGGGCCTGGGGTCAAGCCCAGGATGACACTGTGCAGGTGGACATCCCATTTACTGTATTGTCACTGCGTAAAGAAAAGATATTTGGATGCTTTAACGGTCAAAACGTTTTCTGGGTTCATTTAGTCCTAGGGACGTACCTCGTGGTGATTGATTTTTAGATGTTGCCCTTGTGTACAAACCATGTTGATTTTTCTGACATATACAGAATCATTCAGAATCTAAGTCACTCTCTGGTGCTTAATGTAAAGCCTTAACAAACTGCTGTCAGTGACTCAGTGGCTTCCGCCTGTCGCTGGTCTTGAGCTGCCTGTCTCGGGCCCGTCCCTGCAGGATGCTGGGCAGTCTGGCGTCCATCATCCCCGAGAGGAAGAATGCCCACCACAGTATCCGGCAGAGCCTGGACTCGCATGACAACGTGGAGGTCGAGGCCGCCGTCTTTGCCGCTGCCAACTTCTCTGCCCAGTCCAAGTGAGCAGGACACCCCGCCCCACCGCTTTGTCTGGCCCCAGGGAGCAGGACCCTCTCCCGTGGCCCTGGGGTCAGATTCCAGGGGCTGTAGAATAGGGTGGGCAGTGGCATGTCCCTGAGAAGGCTTGTGTCTGGTTGAGGCGACCTGGAGGTAGCATTGACGGGGACTGACTGGGGGTTTCCCGGGAGACGGGGACCCTGATGGGAGTGGTCGGGAAAGGCAGGAGCTTCTGGAGCTGCCTGGAGGGATGGTCGTCGAGTTGGCCTGTCCTGCCTGCAGGGCGATCACCCGGACTGGCTTCATCCTGCCCGCAGGGACGACTGTCCAGCCTTACCCCGTCCTGCCTGCAGAGCTGACGGTTCAGACTAACCCCGTCCACACTGACCCTGTCTTGCCTGTGGGGCAACTGCCCAGCCTCCCTTCTCTGACAGCCTGTGGCGTGGAAGCTGGGTTGCAGCCCCACTCTCGTGACTCGGGGCGGAGTGCTGGCTTGTGGTTTGCTGGTGTGGGGTGCAGGCCCGCCGCCAGGAGCGTGGCCTCGTCCCCCACACCCCTCTGCCAGCACACCCGCCCCCAGCACCTCTGGGAGGAAGGTGGCACTTTCTGTTTTTATGGATTTTCCTTTCACCTGGCATATCAAATACTGATTTGATATGCCAGACACAGTAACAACAAAGTCTCCAATGGAGACGTTACTGGGCCCGCTCGAGCAAATCGATGATCAACGGGAGGGCCTTTACTTAGACCTTTACTTCCTTTCACCTAACTGACCTCTGGAATATTGCTTAAAATTTGGAGCATTACATTTCATTTCTTCTGATTGTATCATTTCTTTTAATTCTTAGGAAATTTAGACAAATTCACTTTTTGGTTTTAAAGTTCTTGCTCTTCTCTCTTTCCAAAGGGATTTTGCTGTCGGAATCTGTAATAAAATCAGTGAAATGATTCAAGGTATGTGCATGCTACACTTAGTCCTAGGAAGTGACACGGGCCCTATGGTAACGATGTCCCCTAACAAGGGCCCCTGTGTCTGGTGGGCTGGTCACCGTCCATTCCGTTCCTGCACCAGGTCCTCCAGGTGTTTCTGGGCGTCCCACAGATGCCTGACGGTTCTTTGTGTTCAGGATCTGGCCTGGAATGGAGGAGGCACTTTTCTGCGAGTGGGTGTGCCCCGGGGCAGAGCAGTGGGCAGGCCCCTGGCGCCAGGGACAGGCTGCCTGGCCCAGTGCGGAGCTGGAGGGTGGTGGTGGGGCTCAGGACGCGCCCTTTCCACCTGAGTCTCGTGCAGAGAACCATCTCTCTTGTCTCCCTCTTGCTTCAGTGTTGAAGTTTAGTGTTTTGGCCTCAGAAGCAAAAGTCTCTTGAGCCAGATGGAAGCTGTATGTTCTTCCGGCCTGGTGGGCGCCCCCAGGGTTGCTCAGCGCTTACCTGTGTCTGTGGGCTCAGGGTCACTCCCGGTGGGCACGGGGCACCATCTGGGGTGCCCGGGATTGGGTCCAGGTCGGCATGTGCAGGCCGCGCCCTCCATGCGTCTCTCTGCCGCAGGCCTGGCCACGCCCGTGGACCTGAAACTGAAGCTGATCCCCATCCTGCAGCACATGCACCACGACGCGCTCTTGGCGTCCGGGGCCCGGCAGCTCCTGCAGCAACTGGTCACCTCCTACCCCTCCACCAAGATGGTAATCGTGTCTCTGCACACCTTCACACTGCTCGCAGCTTCGTCTCTGGTGGACACGCCCAAGCAGGTGAGCGCAGCTTTTTCTTCAGAACAGACGCTGCAGTTGCCTCGTCTGTCAGACCCGAGGAGAAGTGCGGCGTGTGCCCTGCTCCCCGGATTCCTCCCGCGCCCTGGCACCTCTGTGGGTTCACTCCACAGATCCAGCTGTTGCTGCAGTGCCTGGAGACGGACCCCAGGAAGGCCGTGAAGAGGCTTGCTGTCCAGGACCTGAAGCTGCTCGCCCGTAAGACGCCGCACACGTGGAGCAGAGAAAACATCCAGGTGCCCATGCTTGACACCGAAAGGAACAGATCCTGGCAGATGGCTTTGCTTCATGTTCTTGTGTCACTGTGATCGAATACAAAACCGGAGAGTGCGCGCGAGTCTCGCGGCAGTGAGAAAACTTAATACCTCAAGAAGCCAGAGAGGGAGCAGAGCAGGGAGGGCGCTGGCCCTGCAGGCGGTCCACCCACATTTCATCCCGGCATCCACTATGGTTCCCTGAGCACTGAGCCAGGAGTTAGCCCTGAGACCACTGGGTGTGGCCTAGAAACCAAAAATGAACAGACACCCCAAAACTTACTGTTAAATCTCAATTTGCTTCTGGGTCTTGTCTCAGTTTTTGGTTGGTTTTCAGCTTAAGTTGGGTGTCACGTCTTTGCTGAATTCAGGACAGTACATCTGTTCTGGCTGACTTAAGGGGAACAAACTCAGTGAGGACTGGGTGGTTTGCTGTTTTTCCTCACAGAGAGCAGCAGTGTTGCCCTCAGAGTCTTGGTCTCCGGCGTTGTCACTGCGGGCCTGACCTGAGTGCGTCTCTGTGTGACCTGCTGCTGCTGCTTGTGTCGTCAGATAATGAAACACTGAAGGCTGTTAATTTTCCACTTAATGCAATTGACCACATCCCTAAATTGTATGTTGTAGCGTCCTCATTTACATTAATTTGAAGCATTTTTTTATAATTCAGATTCATTGTGGGGTAATTTATTTAGTAATTTCCTAAGAATGCCCTCAGAGGGTCTGAGCAGTTCTCTCTGCAAACAGACCTCATGGTGCCTCCCTACGGGGGCTCCCCTGGCCCCTCTCGGGGGTCCAGCCCGCCCCTCTGTGCGCCCCTGTCCTTGCATAGGGCTGTGCTGGTGGGAGTCTTTCAGGAGTCCACCCTGATCCTGTCTCTGCCCCACATCCTTGCAGTGGCTGTTCCCTGGTCTGTGGGGACATGGGCCTGTTGCCTGCTCTGAGGCTTAGGGCCTTCCCGCAGCGCACGCCTCACGATGTGACCTGCCCTTCTGGGACATCTGTGCGAGACGGGAGGCTGGGCCTGGAGCATTTAGGGTTCGGCCTATTCCTAACCCTGTGCCGAGGCTGCGGATGATTGTCCAGGAACCCGGAGTGTGAGGTTACTCCTGTGCTGTGTCTTCGTTGCACTTGAAAGGGCTTGGACAGGTTCCCGGGAGCCTAATGGCCAGCTCCTCAGAGCTGCAGGCTAGCTCCACCTTGTAACCTCCAGCCATAGCACGCTGAGCCGTGGGCAGGGCTTACGATAGGCCAGCGGTACTGGGCGCCCTGTCCTGGAATCCATGCTCTGCCCACAACACGCCCAGGAGGAGCCAGCTAGGGAATGGCCGAGAAGAAAGGGATTGAGACAGGGCAAGGAGTGACGACAGACCGGGTGCCTGTAGGAGTGACGGCAGACAGGGTACTTAGAGTTGTAATGGTAGACAGGGTGCCTGTAAGTGACGACGGACAGGGAGCCTGTAGGAGTGATGGCAGACAGGGTGCCTGTTGGCAGTGATGGGAGACATGGTGCCAGTAGGGAGTGACAGGCAGATGGTATGCCTGTGGGGAGTGATGGCAAACAGGGTGCCTATAGGAGTGATGGCAGACAAGGGGCCAGTAGGGTGTGATTGCGGACAGGATGCCTGTAGGAGTGACAGCAGAAAGGTTGCCTGTAGGGAGTGATGGCAGACAGGGTGACTGGAGTAGTGACAGCAGACAGGGTGTTGTAGGAGTGACTGTGGCGGGCAGTCTTCTGGCACTGGCGATCGGTACTACAGCAGCAGACAGGGTTGGTGGCATCACAGCCTTGTGACCCGCTAGGGAGGTTGGAGCAACCTCTTTGGGGACTTTGGGATCGTCTCTCCAGCTCGCCAGTTTGAGTGAGTGCGGCAGCACCAGCTGGGTGACAGGAACCTCCAGGGTCCCAGCATGTGCCCCGTGAGGAGTGGGAGAGCAATGTGAGTCATTCCACAGTTACCGATATATTTGTTTGATTTTTTCAGAGGATGGAATTCGCCTATAAAATGATGCCATCAGGGCCAGAGATAGGGCTTACAGGACTGTGCACGGCCCCTAACCCTACCAGGAGTGATCCTTGAGCACAGAACCGGCAGTAGGCCTCGAGTACCCCCAAAGCTGAGCATATCAATTACAATTTAGAAATAAGATGATTAATATTATCATCGTCTATAAAATCTCAGTGTCTTCTCCGCTCCGGCCGAGGACTGAGTCCTCTTTGCAGCAGGACGTTGCCCTTTGTCTCTGGGGATTCTTTGATAAGGATTTATCAGGCAGTTTCTGAGTCGTTTAAACCAGAACTTCAGCAATAAAATCGACATCAGTCGTTTGTTTCCCCAAAAGCTGGAGCACTGACTGTAGCTGGCGCTCTGAGCAGCTGTCTGACCGAGGCCTCTGTCCCTGCCCCTTGCCCCCAGGCTCTCTGTGAGTGTGCCCTGCAGACGCCTTACGACAGCCTGAAGCTGGGGACACTGTCAGTGCTGGCCACGCTGTCGGGCACCATCGCTGTGAAGCACTACTTCAGCCTCGCCGCAGGTGAGGAGGGGCCGGGTGGGCAGGGCGCCCTGTCGGGGCCAGGCATGTCCACAGCTCTGTAGGTGTTGTGCTTTCAGGGCAGGGCTTCTCTGAAATCCGTCCTAGGGGCTGGGAAGGTGACTCAGGCTGGGCCCTGGGCCGGTCCCCAGCACCACAGAAGCCCTTGAGCCGCCCAGGAGCCAGAGGGAACCCCAAACTACTGCTGTCCTTCTGTGGGGGCCGGGCACGAGGGCACAGCTTTCCCTGCTCATGGCGTTAGAGTTGCACCTGTGCCGATGCTGCATGACAGGTCACCCTGGGAAGGGTGGATATTCTTGAAGACCTGCAGCCCCCCGCCCCCCGCCCCCCCAGCTGTCCCAGTTCTTCTGCTCACAGTTTGCTGCCCTGAGCGCTGTCCACATTGAAAGAGCTGCAGCGCCGAGTATTAGTAGCATCTGTCGATTGGGAGCACCGTCTCCTGAGGCTGCTTCCCGTGGCTGGGGACATAGGACAGTGAGTAAGGTGCTGGCCTCGCAGTGGCCGACCCAGGTTTGATCCCCAGCACCCCCTATGGTCCCCTAAGCACTGCCAGGAGTGATCCCTGAGCACTGCTAGGTGTGACCCCAACAGACAATATCAGGGGGGGAGCCTCCACGGCAGCCAGGGTCGGCCCAGTTTCTAGGATGTTCCTGAGGTCAGTGAGGAGCGAGGCCTGAGCCAGGGCTCCCCCCGTGGGTCAGCTTGTCACCCGCTGATCCAGATGCGCGGTGGTTTTCCTTTCCTTTAGTTCTGCATTCCAAAGGCATTTGTAAGCGTTGTTTCGGGTTATAATTAATCAAGTCCTTCTTAAACTAGGTATTTTGTTTGTCCTGTTATTGAATTTCGTAGTGTACAAACTACAAAATGTGGGATTGGGCAAAGGGTTCGGCTCTGCAGATGAGTGGTGTTCCCGAGAAATGAAAGCTGAGGATTTGCTAAGGTCGGATCGTTGCCATGGGTAACAGCGTATGTTTGAATGTCTCTTGATTAGATTTTTATTTCTGTGTAGTCATGAGAAACCTTTTCTGAGACAAAATGCAGTTTGGTGTGTCTGATTCTCTGCCAGCAGTGACTCCTCAGTCACCAGAGGCCTGGTAGCTGGTGTGCCTGGGAACGGCAGCTCCTGGAGAATGGCAGGAGACAGCGACTCTCTCCTTCAGTGCCATGGGAGTGAAGCTGTTGCTGTTCTGGGGAGTGGGGGCTCCCGACTCGGTGCTCGGGGTCCCTCCCATTGGTGTTTGGAAAACCTTGCGATGCTGGAAACTGAATCCAGGATTCAGCTTGCAGTATCCCAGCCCAGCTCCTGGACCCCAGAAGATGCACCATCAGACTCTGACGGGCAGCTGAGGAGTACTCCCCCAGAGCACACCAGTTACCCAGAAAAGGGCGCTTATCCTGCAGTATGGTCACACATTTGAAGGTTCAGTGTCTGTGTGGTTATTTTTCCTGTAATTCAGTGTAATTTGAGTACACTGGTCGAAAATATAGGTGCATCGTCGGAATATTTCTCTGTAGGGAAATGTGCTCTCGGGGCTGGGCGGCATCCTTGGGGTAGGCACGAGCCTGGCAGTGCAGGACACCCCCTGTGGTCACGGGAGCATTCCCACGGGGAACCCAGGTGCCTCCCCGGTGAGACCCACGGGAAATGCAGGTGTTGTGGGCAGGAAGGGCAGGGAAGGTATGAGTCTCAGCTTCTGTTCCTGCCATGAAAGGGGGATTTCAGCCGCCAGGAACTTCTCAGCAGCCCCCCGTGGATTCCTGCATGAGTGGCTGGAGGTGTGGCCCAGTGCCACGGCGCGACCTGGGGAGGATCTAGCGGGATGGTTGGTGTTCCGCCTTCCTTTTGAGAACGGTCTCATCTGGCAGGAGGCCTGTGACAATATTCTCCCTTTTTCAATTTTTGATTTAGGGGTTTTGAGGCCACTTGGCTATGGTCAGGGCTCTGCTGACTGGCCCCTGGTGGGCGGGCTGTAAGGCCAGGGTCCCAGCCGTGTGCGGTCACTCTGGCCCAGCAGCGTCTGCTGGAAGCAGAGTCTGGGATGTCGGAGACGCCGCCTCCGTTGCCCGGGCTTAGTTCTGATGTTGTTTTTGTGGACAGTCCTGACGAGGGTCACAGATCCTAGTCCTCCAGGATCTCTTGGCTGGTGCCTGCTCAGGAAATGGTACTTTGTTGAGAGCAGGTAAGAGCAGGAACACGCGGGGCTTGTGGATCCGAGTGACCATTGCTCCTTTCTTCTGCTTGTTTAGGGAACGTGGGATCTTCCCCCAGAGCCTCGGACTTGGTCAGGCTCGCCCAGGAGTGCTGCTACCACAGCAACCGGGGCGTAGCGGCCCACGGAGCGAGGGTGCTCACCAACATCGCCGTCTCGTGCCAGGAGAAAGGTGGGTCAGCGGCGCGGGCCCTGGGAGACGGCCCCGCCTGGCTCCTCCCGGGCTTGCCTGGAGCCCAAATCGTCGAGCTCCTGGGGCCACTTTCCTCCAGACCTTGTTCTTTGGGGGAAGCTTTTCAGTCAGCGAGCCCTTGGCATTGGCCTGGTGCTGGCTGACACTGCGAGGCACTGCCAGTCCCTGGCAGCTGTTTGCTCCTCACGCCCAGCACTCCGTGGGGATGGCCCGGGTTCGTCGGTGGAAAAATGAAGGGAAAATCCTTAAGTTCTTCTCAAAGATCTTAAATCAAAGACCATCTCGCCTGGGACCGTCATGGGAATTGATTTTACTGGATCTCCTGCCAGGCCTCACACACAGGCTCGTGCTCACTGAGGTGTGTGCAGAGAGCAACGGGAACAGGCTGGTTGTACCCCTGACACCTTTTGGCCCGAAGGCTTGAGGAAGTTCTTCTGGTTTCAGAAAAGGCCATGCGTGTTCGTGTCTTCTGCCTTCCTGATGGCGGGCCTCTGTCCCGGGTCCCTGCACAGCCAGCCCGCTCCCCACAGCCCTCTGCACCCGACCTCGAGTAGCAGCTTCCCCTGACTAACAAGGGGTTTCTATACATTGTCTGTTGCTTCTGTGAGCTGAACAATTAAGCCTTTTCAAAATTTCTGACAGAGGATTGAGTATTTCCTGTCACATAGCATAGAGAATCATTCTGGGTTATCAGAAGCATCGTATAGCAGACTAACCGTTTGGTCAGCTAATGCATTCAGAGTTTCCTAGAACCGTTGGAGAAAATCGAGCCCTATAGTGGTAAGAAAAGATACTGGCAGCTGTAACGTAACAGCTGTGGGGGTCTCTGTGGTCCCCCGAGAGGACTCAGACGACTGTGTGGGGTCTTTGTCACTTCCTGAAAGTGCTTCCGCTCTCATTGTGCCAGGGTCCTGGTACCCTGCGTGGCTTTGGCTTGGGAAGAGGCCACAGACCACAACTTGGTGTTCTGAGCCACCCCAGCTCTGCCGCATGAGAGCCCTGTGACTAGGGTGCTTGTGATCCTGAGTGGGCTCGCGGCGCGACCCACTGTCCGGAGCCTCTCGCTCTGCTCTGCCCGCCGCTTTCTAGGAAGGCCGGTGTCAGACTCACTCGCTGGCCGCGTGCTCACCTGGACGGCTGTGGGTGCGTCTCACCCACTGTGCTGTCCACTCTCCAACCGAGTCTCTCCTCTAGACCTGCTGGCCCTGGAACAAGATGCCGTGTTTGGTCTGGAATCCCTCCTGGTGCTTTGTGGTCAAGACGACAGTCCCGGTGCTCAGGCGACTCTGAAGGTGAGGCCACCCTCCTCCTAGAGGAAAGTCCATGTCACGGGGATGCCGGGTGTGGCCTTCTCTCCACCACAGGCTCTCTGCACGTGCGGCCTCCACTCACTGCCCCAGTGGTCACCATCACTGGGTCTCAGGGACGGAGCGGCGGCCCTCCCATTCACCCATTCCCTGCTCTGGTTCTTCAGTGCAAAGAACATGCGCACCACAGCTGGTGCTGCTGTTGGGCGGGTCACTTGCCTGTGGCCGAGCCCCAGGGTGGACTGGTCCATGTGAGCAGAGCCCCTGTCCCCTTGGGAGCCTGTCGTCCCAGGAGACACAGAAGTGACCCCAGAGAGATGAGATGAGCCAGACCCAGACGTCCTGGCCTTTGGAGTTGGAGTTGTAAGCCAGATGAACGAATAGAAAATGTTGGCTTCCACTTTTGTTTTGGGGCCATGCCTGGTGGTGCTCAGGGCTTTCTCCTGGCTTGGCTCTCGGGGATCACTCCTAGCAGAGTTCTGGGGACCAGAATGGGTGCTGGGGATCGAACCCGGCCAGTGCGGGGGAGGCGAGCACCCTGTGTGCCCTCCTGCTCCAGCCCGGCTTTCACTCCTCACAGAATTCACATGGGCATGTTCAGGGTTTCAGAATGTGGTCTGGGGGACAGTGCAGCAGGCCGGGCAGTGACCCTGTACGTGACTGCCCCCAGTCCGGCCTCCAGCGCCACTTAGGGTCCCGTAGGTCCCCTGCCAGGAGTGAGCCCCGAGCACCACCAGGCACGGCCCCAAAATCCTCGGGAAAAAAGTGGTTTTCAAACACGAAGGCTGGAGAGCTCTCGGGCCTCGTCCGTGTTGCTCCTTAGGGTATGTCGTGTCTTTTTCCTGAGGACCGTCAGGTGGAAGTCGGATGGAGGGGCAGTGTGCAGCGTGGGGTTCAGTCTCCTGTTCACCAAGCCCCTCCCCGGCTGACCTTGCAGCTGTGCCTTCCCCGCGTGACCGCCTGCCTTTGCCCCCGCAGATCGCCCTGAACTGCATGGTGAAGCTGGCCACCGGCCGGCCCCACCTCGGCCAGTCCGTGGTGGAGGCGCTGCTGATGCAGCTGCCTGCGGCCCGGCCGGCCGCCTGCATCCTCATGTGCCACTGCCTGGCGGCCATCGCCATGAAGCTGCCCGTGCTGGGCGAGGGCCTGCTGGGGGACCTCCTGGAGCTCTACAAGGCCATCGGGCGCTCGACCAGCGACAAGCAGCAGGAACTGCTGGTAACAGGCGCGGGGGGCTGGGGCCAGCCGCTGCCCCGGTTGCAGTGCCACTGCAAGCCCAGTGCGGGTCGGTGGCAGCAGGAGCTCCCTCGGGGGCAGCTAGCTCCGTCTGTCCTGCCCACGCTGCTTCCCCGAGCAGTGGCCTGGCGAGTGCTCCGTGTTCTCTCGTGCTCTCGCGCTCATCTGTGCTGCCTCATGCCAGAGACACCGAGATCTCTCTCTCTCGCACGAAACAGTTCAGTTCTGAACTTGAGGAGCAGAGTGAGACCGTGTCCTGCCTGCAGCCTGAGGGGCAGCTGGGCAGCGCCTGGGGTGGGGTGTGCCTGTCTGGACACTAGGGGGCAGTTGGCCCAGCTTTTTATCTTAGCAGACTTCATTTTCACCTAATGTGCTTTTTGTTTGTTTGGGGGCCACACCCTGCAGTGCTCAGAGCTTACTCCTGGCTCTGTGCTCAAGCATCACTCCACTGTATGGGGCGCCAGGGACCAAACTCAGGTTGACTGCATGCAAAGCAAGCGCCTTACCTTCTGTACCATCTTTCTGGCCAGAAGCTAATGTGGTTTTTATCCTTTTTTTGTTAGTACAGCCTTAGTCATGTATTTAGTCGTTCTAACTTACGAAGTATGATTCCCAGAGTGTAAGGGTGTTAGAGCAAAAACTCTGCTTCCAGCCCATCGGTGAAGGAAGAACCTTTGCGGTACAGTTGGAAGCCCTGGTGTAGCCCATGGTCCCCCTGGGTGTGCCCTTGGGGTCTCTTTGTCCTCCCGGGTGGGGTGTCCCTGCGTGTCATGTGTGGCCGCTCTGCCCATGGCAAAGGCTCAGGCCGGCTGTGCCCTCGCTGCTCGAGGGACCTTCCTCTGTCGAGAGGCATCTTGGTGACCCACTTCACTGCTGTCACCATTCATCCCTCGCTGTGAGGCGAGCCATGGAGTGACGTGGCCGATGGCTTCAGAGTGGGAGTGACCCACCCTCCTTTCTGGACAGACTGTGCATCTCGCGGTGGGGTGCTGGGGGGCAGAATGTGTGTCTCTCACACTCTCGCTTCCTGTCAGGTGAGCCTGGCCACAGTGGTCTTCGTGGCCAGTCAGAAAGCACTGTCGGCCGAGGTCAAGAAGGTCATCAAGCAGCAGCTGGAGAGTGTCTCCAACGGCTGGACTGTCTACAGAATTGCCCGGCAAGCATCCCGGATGGTATGGGCAGAGCACTCGGGGTCCTGGGAGCGTGGCTGGGCGGGGAAATGCAGCTGGAGCGAGGCCAGCGGGGACAGGCCTGTCCTTGGTGCTGCCCGGGTACCATGGCCTCTGTTAGGGCATGAGCCTGTGAGCTCCTCAAAGCTGCCGTTTACGGCCGTGTTACAGCTGAGGGGAGTCTGTGGAGGCCTCCGTGCCCCGGTCTCCCTCCCCGCCCAGCTGTGCGATGTATCTCCTCCGGTTGTGGCCGGGCCTCTTGATCCTTTTTTGTTCAGTTTGTTTGCAAGGAAGCGTGGGAATCCGTTGGCCCTATCCAGAGCCTTGCTGGGTGAACCGAGGTGGGTGGGGGAAGACCCCTCCTGAGCCCAGCTTCCCAGGCCAGTTCCAAGGGACCACTTCCTGTTCCTGCTCACTGTTCTTCTGGTTTTGGTTCAGGGCCACACCCCATGGTGCCCGGGGGAGCCCATGCTGGAGAGACAGAAGCCTCCAGCAGGCCTAGCCTGAACTCCACCCAGAACGACGCTCCACTCACCCGGGCAGAGCCTCCCCTGTTCCCTGTCTCCCCAAAACCACCACTTCCTCTCCCCGTCTACGTTGCCAGAGCCAGGGCCAGGATCTCTCTCTCTCTCTCTCTCTCTCTCTCTCTCTCTATCTCTCTCTATCTCTATATCTCTCTCTCTCTTTCCCTCCCTCCCTCCCTCCCTATCTCCCTCCCTCCCCCCCCCACATGCCTGGGCACCCCAGAGGGGGCAGGTGAGAGTCCTCCCAGCCCTGGCAGCTGACCTCAACCCAACCGCCACCACGCTTCAGACCGCTCCCCCCTCACTCAGACCAAGCCTCACACCTCACATATGAGTGGACATATTCCTGGACCGCACAGCCGCAAAACATCATGAGACACTTCCTACCCAGTCTCCATAATTGCCACACCATATTTGATGGGGTTCAGACCGTAGGCAACAAATCAGAGAGAAATATATACATATATAAATATGTGCATATATTCATACTTTCTGACCTATATACCAAAGCTCACATCACCCAAACCACAACAACACGTTAGTGTATCCTATAGAATGTCTAAACGGCTCCTGCCAAAGTAGAACAGTCTTCACACTGTTTCCTATATGGACACTTTTTTGCAACCATGTTCAGCAGTTCTTCATAACAGACTATACAAAATATATTCTTTTGGTTGTGTTTTGGGACAGGGATTGGGGTTTGGGGTGGAAACATCCCGAATTTGGTGGTGGGAAATTGTGATGGTGGTAGGATTGGTGTTTGAATATTAAATGTAATCAAATATTGTGAACTAGCTTATAAAATAAAAAAAAATTAGGGGCTGTATTGATAGCACAGTGGGTGGGGCATTTGCCTTGCAGGCGGCCAACCCGGGCTCGATTCCCAGCATCCCATAATCCCATATTGTCCCCTGAGCACCGCCAGGAGTGATACCTGAGTGTATGAACCAGGAGTGACCCCTGTGCATCGCCGGGTGTGACCCAAAAAGCAAAAAAAAAAAAAAAATTAAAAGAAAAACCCACACATGGTTGCACTCATGCACACACATGTGCTCACACACTCCATTACAGTCCCTTGCAGGCTCTCCCTACCAGTCCCTGCCCCGCTGGCCTGAGGTTCAGGTCGCCTGTTCTGGATTCAGACCCTAGGCTTGGTCACTCGTCCCGCCTGCCCGCTGTCGGGGCTGAGGCCAGCTGGTGTTGTGTCGCACAGACGTGCGGTGTCCTCGGGCAGAGTCGGCCTGGTCTGAACCCTGAGGCGCGGCTGTTCTCGGCTGCAGGGGAGCCACGACATGGCCCAGGAGCTCTACGGGAGCCTGTTGACTCAGGTGGCCTCGGAGCATTTCTACTTCTGGCTGCACAGCTTGGAGGAGTTCTCGCGCGCGGAGCACTGCCTGGCAGGGCTGCAGGAGGAGGACTACAGCTCCGCGCTCTCGTGCATTGCTGAGTCCCTGAGATTCTACCACAAGGGAATCGCTTCCTTGACGGTGAGTCTCTGTACCCTGCTAGCGCCCGCCCTCCCTGTTTCCGCCAGAGACGTGCTGACACGCCCTTTGAGTTCAGGCAGAAGTAGGACGGCGGGGGGGGGGCTCGCGCCTCTCCTCGGCATGGGGTCTTGGGGAGTCCGGCCAGAAGCACTGAGGTCCCTTTCAGGGTAGGGAGGCACTTGGCTGTGGCCCCCAGGCCTGAACATGAACCTTCCGGCCCAGCCGGCCAAGTGTTGCCAGGAGTAGTGCTGGCCCTCCCGGGCACTGCTAAGGGGTCCCGTACCTGGCTGCCACCCAGAGGACGGGTGAGGACCTGTGCTTGGCCCCTCCTGGGCCACCCACCACTTTCCGAGGCCCGGGCGCCCCTGCCCCTTTTCGTGTTTCTGCAAAGTGCTCTTCCCGGGGAAAGCCTTTCCCTCGGCCAGCCTTTCACGGAGCTCTTGCTTCTGTGTGGTTCTGCCATCAGCAGACAGTTCTGGTGTTTGGAGCCATGTTTCCTGAGCTGATGCCCGCAGGGTGAGAAGCGACTTCTCGCTGCGGGTCCCCCTCAGGTCATGTTTGCCCGCCAGCACTCACCTGCTGCCTCGTGCTGCCGTACTCACTGTCGTCTCTCCTCCGCCTCAGTCAAAGTCCTTCTCTCCCCAGGCTGCCAGTACACCCCTGAACCCACTAAGCTTCCAGTGTGAGTTTGTGAAGCTCAGAATTGACCTTCTGCAAGCCTTCTCTCAGCTGATCTGCACCTGCAACAGCCTGAAGACCAGCCCTCCACCTGCCATCGCCACCACCATCGCCATGACCTTGGGGAACGACCTTCAGAGGTGTGGTCGCATCTCCAACCAGGCAAGTCTTCCCGATTTCCAGGGTGGTTTGTGTCTACGCTCTGAGGGTTTTGTGGCCATGAGCTGAAGAGTCATGGAATTTCTAAGTCAGTGGCTTGACTCCGGTGCCTTGTCAGTGCTGGATGAGGCCCCGAGGATGCCCTGTGTCACACAGCAGAAAGCAGTGTCCCCAGACTGCTGAGGGCTTGGAGGGGGGCCCCGTGGAGCAGGGAGGAGCTGTAAATGTGATGGCTCTTGTTCCTGTCGCAGTAGTTCTGTTCATTTGCTGTTTGGGATCATTTTGTCCAGTTTAGCAGCATGAGGATCAGAGCTTTCAGTCTCTGGGTCTGGGTTTGGGTCTGTGGGGGGCGGTCCTTGGCGCTCATGCCTGTGTCTCCCGGCTCCCCTTCTCTGCAGATGAGGCAGTCCATGGAGGAGTTCCGGAGCCTCGCTGCTCGCTACGGGGACCTCTACCAGGCATCTTTCGATGCTGACGCTGCCAGTCTCAGGAACCTGGAGCTGTATCCAAGCCTGGTCCAACCTTTCCCTCTTCTAGGAAGTTTTCTTTGTTTTTTGTTTTGCTTGAGGGCCACACCCGGCAGTGCTCAGGCACTGATCCTTTGCTCAGGGGTTTGTCCTGACAGACCCTATGGGATGCCAGGGATTAGATCTGGGCTGGCTATATGGTGTCTCCTGCTTCCTCCCTGCTGTGCTGTGCCCCAGCCCTGGGGACGTTTTCCTTTCCATGCAGAGTTCCCTCTCCTTCGTGCAGACATCCACGTCTGACCAGGCTCCAGACCCTCCCTGTCAGCCGGCAGTCCAGTCGGACTCTCCTTCCTAACTCCACCCCGGGGTTTGGAAGCCTGGGGTGGTGCAGCCATGCTGCTGGCCCTTGCATCCAGCTGCAGCGCCTTGCCCGAGAGGAGAGGGACATACCCTTCTCTGTCCACCCCTGGCTTCCTGTGTGATCTCTGCCTTCTCCATGTTTCCCGGTGGCCCAGACCACAGGTGGGAGGGAGGCAGTAAGTGGCTTCTAGCACAGGACCCTCAGTGGGCCCTGAGGCGGGTGCTGTGGTTCAGGGGGGTCACACCCGCCTCGGGGAACCCGGTCTCATACCAGAGATACCCCAAGATCTGAGACGGAGAGGAGCTGCTGGCGACTGCCCGTGGCCCCTCTCACTGCCCAGCTGGCCACAGCCGGGCCTCGCCAGCAGGGACCCTCGATTATGAGGAGCCAAGAGGCGCTGGAGCAGCAGCGCCATCTGCTGGTGGCTACAGGCTGCAGTGATGGGGGCAGCGGGGGAGGGGCGGTCTGTCTGCTCTCCTCAACCCCTCCTTAACCCCTCAGCCAGCAGCAGAGCTGTCTACTCATCTCGCACACCATCGAGGCCCTGATTCTGGACCCAGAGGCGGCTAGGTACTGCCCGACTCCAGCCCCAGCACTGTCCCCAGGGCGCCCGCCTGGACGCGCTTGTGTCCCACCTGCCTCCTGGTTTCGAGGCACCGACTGGGAGAAATCTCGATCATATTCTTCTTCCGTGTGACGATCGAACTTTGGTATAAAGATCGATGATTTAGGGGCAGGAGAGGGAGTACGGCAGGGAAGGCACTGGCCGTGCACACAGCTAGCCTGGACTCTGTCCCTGACACCAAATATGGACCTCCATGGTCCAGAGGGAGGAGTCAGCCCTGAGTACTCCCTGCTGTGCCCCTGTCGATAATAAGGGTCAAATGTAACTTTGTCATTCTCTGGCTCCCAAACAAAATAGAAATGCCTGATTCGCTTTATTGAAATTCTCCTCTCTTCCCCACTAGATACTTAATTATTAAAAGTGCTTTCATTAAAGCACAATTCTCATTTTTCCCATTAGTCTCTCTGGCAGTACCCGACTTTAACTGTAGTTCCCGCTGCAGTGAGGCCAGTAGCTGCAGGCGCCAACCACGAGGCCCTGACCTTTTCCCTCCCAGAGCTGTGGCCGGGTGAGGGCATCCTGCTCCTTGGGCCCTGTAGGCATGTGATGTTCTCACCCACCGAGAGCTCGTCCCGCTCCCACCCCTCTCTGGGCTCCACGACACCCTGACCTTTACTGCCGCGCCAGGCGTCTGCTTTCCTCCCTGTTCTCGAGGTACCAGTGGGTTGGTGCCCGCACACTCCCAGCTTCTGCATGCGCACCTGCATGCCCGCCGATGGGGGCCAGCCTCCTGGGAACCAGACCTGGGCGGTGAGGCCTCATGTCGGCAGGGGGTGAGGTGGACTTAGCTCACATGTGGCAGCTCCTGCCCTCCATCCTGGCCTCTGCCCGCCCGGCACAGTTGTCACAGTTAGAAGAGCAGGTGCCGGCTCTGTTCTTCGGCGGACGGTGGTGGGGACTGCCCAGTGCCTCACATCCAGGCACGGGCCTGGGGGTGGCTGCGCCTCTTGGCTGTAGGGAGCGTGCGGGCAGGGGGAGACACGCCTGCTGATGGTGCTGGTACCCCCTGCAGCTTCCAGGAGTACGGGGCTATGGGGACCGCGCCTGCCGACAGCGAGTACGAGAGGAGAGTGATGTCCGTGTACAGCCGCGTCCTGGAGGAGGTGGAGGCGCTCACTCGCAAGTACACCCCTGTGTCCTACATGGCAAGTGGCGCGGGCGGGGCGGGTCGGCGCGGGCGGGTCTGCCCTCCTCTCTGTGTGGCCCCGTGCCGCGGACCTCCTGAGTCCCAGGGTTCCCAGCGATGGCTCCTCTGCACCCCGGATCCCGCACGGAAGCTGAGGGCCCCATCGGTGTCCTGCCGCCTCCCTCTGGCCTCCGGTGTCCACGTGCCTTGGCCTTGCAGTCTCTTGCCCTGGCAGCATGACCTCTCCGGGAGCACTCTGGGCCCGGGGCGTCTGGGGGAACGTGGGGACTCCACACACACCTGCGCCTCCTGGGCCTTCTCCGGCCCTGCCTGCAGGCTTGTGGCCTCGTGGCACCCTCAGGAACTGTTTCTCTGTCTGCGTGCGGGCTCCCAGGCCCTCTGCCGGCTGGCCCTGAGGTGCCTGGTGGCTGGCCACAGGGCCTTGCCTCACCTGAGGATGCCACGCTCCCATGGTGTTTCTCCTGAGGTGGACTCTTCTGCAGCTGGATCTGGCTGCAGCTGGGTCTGGCTTGGACATTGGGGGACACCCAACAAGGAGCGGGCCCGAAGGACAGGCAGCGAAGGGCGAGGGTGGGCAGTGGCCTTTAGCTCTGACCACCAGGAAGGGAAGTTTCCACCTACCCAGGGCCACAGTTCTGCAGCCGTGTCTGGGCTTTTTCTGTCACGTTTGCAAATGGTCAAGGAAATGGGAAGGAAGCCTTAGCCCCGGCCGGTGGGCTGAGTCTGAGTCGGGGGGTCTCTCTGGGGCTTCCCCCAAACCCAGTCCCCGGTGTATGCTCAGGACAGCGGCTTCCCAGGAAACACTAAAGGAGCAGGAGGCTGTGAGCCCTTGCAAGTGAGGCAGCTGAGCCCCCGAGCTGGCCAGCGGTCAGCTAGTCAGTCCCCCTTCATGCCCACAGGCCACATCCCTAGCGGGCAGCAAGGGGATGGCCAGGAGTCTGTTTGCTGCCCCTGGTGCTAGACTCCAGGCATAGCCTGGGGGCTGGTCTCTCCTGACTCCAGCAGCTTCTTGGAGAGGCGGAATTCCCCAAGAGCACGCCCTGCAGGAATATGGGTTGCCCCCTGTCTACTTTTTTATTGAGTAGTCTTCAAGATAAAGCTCTGTCACTGGACTCCGTGGTGGGACCATCTGCCAGGTACTGGCACCGGGTGTTTGGCCAGTTTCCTGACCTGTGCCAGAGTCGTTCATGGCTTTGACTCTCCTGCAAGGACGTTGTTGATCTGTCTGGGGTCTTGGGTTTCACCGACTCTCTCTCTCCTCCAGCACACGGCCTGCCTCTGTGATGGCATCATTGCTTTGCTGAAAGTTCCCCTTTCGTTCCAGAGATACTTTTTCCAGAAACTTCAGTCCACCAGCATCAAGGTAATGGGGCCAGCGTACTGCCAGGGCAGAGGCAGCTCTGGCCTGCCCTGCTGGGGTTGGGGGCCTGGCCCGGTTGGGGGGTCTGGCCTGGCTGGGGTCCGCCCTGCTGTGGGCTGCCGTCCTGCCTTTGTCAGAGCCAGGACAAGTTCTTCCATTCTTGGTTTTTTCGTTCTTTTGTTTAGGGGTTCACTTGATGCTCAGGCTCACTCCAGACTCTGTGCTCAGGGATCACTCCCGGTGGCCTTGGGGGACCATGTGGGGTGCCCGAGATCGAACCTAGGGCAGCCACATAGCAGAGGAGCTCCCTACCCCCCGTACTGTCATTTCAGCCTTGGTGTATGTTTTCGAGAATCCCAATGAGAAGTTAGAAGTGACGTTTGTCACTTTGACAAACACCATAGGGCACATACCACGTAGGAGGTTCTGGGGCAACCGACGGGCCCATGAGCACAGGTGCAACGACACTTCCTGCTATAGTGTCGTTTGGGGGCTGGAGAGGGAGAGAGAGACGGGAGAGAGGAAGGGAGGAAGGGAGAGGAGAGGAGATGGGGAGGGAGGGAAGAGAGAGATGGAGGGGGAGGCGGAGGGAGGGGAAGGGGAAGGGATATTAGGGCGCAGGCTCTGCAGGAGGGATATTGGGGTACAGGCTCTGTGCAGGGGATATTGGGTTGCAGGCTCTGCAGTGGAATATTGGGGTGCAGGCTCTGCAGGAGGGATATTGGGGTGCAGGCAGGATATTGGGTGTGCTCTCTGCAGGGGGTTTTGGGGTGCGGGGTTCTGGAATATTGGGGTGCGGGCTCTGCAGGAGGGATGTTGGGGTTGGGCTCTGTACAGGAGGGATATTGGGGTGCAGGCTCTGTGCAGGAGGCCGTGCACAGTCCTGTACGCCTCTGAGACCACCAAAACAAAACCAAGCTCATTTGGTTTATTTGCGTAGACTCTATTACCTTGAGACCTGGTTGTGGGTGTCTGCTTGGAGTTTAAAGTTCATTTCCACTTGAATTGAGGCTGTTTAAATGACATGAGACCTGAGCTAGCAGGTGGACATGAGAAGTTCCCTAGTATATTTCCCTGGTGCAGCTGAGTGGCTGCCCGAGAAGGACCCCACCAGGCCAGGTTGTTGTGGGGCACGGGCAGGGAGGTGTCTTTGTTTTTCTCTGTGTTTCTGTGTGTGGTGTGTGTGATGTCTGTGTGTCTGCACATGGCGTGGGAGCTTCTGTGTGGTATATGATGTTGTGTGTGTGTGTGCACGTGTGCTCTGTGTGCAGTGCTCTGCCCAGCCATGTTGGTTGGGGGAACGCCCCTTCTCAGCCCTGGCACCTGTTCCAGCTTGCCCTGTCGCCGTCACCCCGGAACCCCGCCGAGCCCATCGCTGTGCAGAGTAACCAGCAGCTGGCCCTGAAGGTGGAGGGGGTGGTCCAGCATGGCGCCAAGCCCGGGCTCTTCCGGAAGATTCAGTCCGTCTGCCTCAATGTCTCCTCCACGCTGCAGAGCAAGTCGGGACAGGATTACAAGGTGACTGCGGGGGTGTGGTCCAACCCAGTGGTGGTGGCTCCAGTGGCTGCAGGTCCCACCCACAGACGAGAGGTCACGATTGGGGGCCCATGTGGCATCCAGGCCCTGACACTTGGGTGGCTCCAGCCCTGGGCCGTGGGACGGGGCAGGGGGAAGGGCAGCCCAGGCCCCTCAGTGATGTGCCATCGACGGGAGTCACCAGGGTGCTGCTCGGCCATGGCGAGGGTTGGACCATCCATGCTCGCCCCATTGGCCAATGCCCAAGTCCGCACCCCCAGGGCCAGTGGCACATTTGGGGTGGGATGAGCAGGTGTTGGGGTAGATGAAGGGCGCCGTGGGTGTGTCCAGGGGCAGGCTGAAGTTGTCCTTCCTGCCTTTGGTCTGGCGGCCTTTCCAGGCGCTGTGGTCCACTCGGGGAGGCCGGCTCTTCCCCACAGCACTGAGGCCACGCCCACTCGCACACAGCCTGGCACTGAGGCCACGCCCACAGCTGCCGTCACCTCTCCTGCCCATGGGGTTTCCCTGTGGCCAGCACGTGGGCCCAGCTGCTGTGCCTGTGTCGTGAAGCGTGTGGCCCTGTGGGGACCAGACGGGTCTTCAGGGAACAGTCCGGCCCTTTGGTGCTGGGGACTCTCCCGCCTCAGACACCTGCTGCTGGGCACCGCGGGTTGATATTGCAGGGACTGGCTCAGTGCTGGCTGAGCTGACCGTCCCCCTGGGGCCTAGAGGGGCACATCGTGGAGTTGAGCCCTGACACCCCCACGAGACCCATGGAGGGCCTGGGTGTGACCCTGTGCCTGCAGCAGCCCCTTGGGCTGAGCTCCACGCATCTGAGGCCAGTCCTGCCTCCGCCTGTCTCTGCTTTCCCTCTGAACAGCTTCCTGCCATCGCCACACGCAGCATCCTGTTCCTAGAGAGGGACAAGGGTGTCAGTGTTTGGTGGCGCCACTGAGCCTGTGGGTGCCAGCCCTCCAGCCCGGGTGCTGCGGGCTCCATGAGCGGGTCTCGTGGCCTTGGGCCAAGCACTGGCGACCCCTGGCACCTCGGGGGTGAACCTTTTAGAGGATGCTGTGTCTGTGAGGAAGTGAGGCAGCGCCAGGGAAGGGGGGCCGGCTGGGTCCCCGGTGGCCTGACTGCTGCCCCTGCAGGTCCCCCTCGACCACGTGACCAACGAGATGGAGCAGCAGGTGGAGCCCCACAACGACTACTTCAGCACCCAGTTTCTGCTCAACTTCTCCATCCTCGGCACCCACCACATCACCGTGGAGTCGTCGGTGAAGGATGCCGACGGCATCGTGTGGAAGACGGGCCCCCGGACCACCATCTTCGTCAAGGCCCTGGAGGACCCCTACTCACAGCAGCTGCGCCTGCAGCAGCAGAACCAGCCCCCGCAGCAGCCCCAGCGCGCTGCCTACACGCGCTTCTGACAGGGCAGGAGCCGCCGTCACGCCCGCCCCGGGCCGGGCTCCCCGACGCGGGCTCCCTGGCCAGCGCTGCCTGGGATGGTGACCCCAAGGGACGCCGCGCTTCCCTCTGCAGAGCAGGGGCTCCAGGGCCCACGGCTGGGAGAGGGGAGTCTTGGGCATGGCCACCTCCGTCTCCGCTCCGCCCGGGCTGGAGCAGCCGTGTGTGCCCAGCACTGGCCTCGTTGCCGGCACTGCCCGGGCCTCTGGGAGCAGGCGTGGGGACATGCCGCCCGCACACGCCTCCAGAATAAACCTCTGCTCGCTGTGCCCGTGCTTCGGCCCTGGCTCTCGTGGTGCTGGGCCCAGCCCAGGGTAGGCCGGGTCTGTCCTGTCCTGGTGGGTGGTCTCCAGGGCTGGACTGCCGCCTTGCGGTGTGTGCGTTGGCTCAGCTGCACGCCATCGGCCCCGAACTCGCAGCCAGCCCCGGGGACCCCTCTGCGCCCCTCTCCTCCACCAGCTCCAGAGCATCAGCCTGGACCCGCAGCTGCCTCCTGCCTCTCGGGGGCCTGCGCCCTTGTTCGAAACAGGTTCCAGGGCTTTTCCTGCCGCAGCCACACTGGCCATGGCTTCTCGGGCCCTGGAACCCAGCCGCCGTTTCCTGACTCAACTTTCTAGGTGTGACAGCAGGTTTCTGCTCCTCATCAGGGCAGAATTCTCCAGAAGGGGGCAGATCGTGGAAGACACGTAGCCCTTGTGCCGGTTTCCTGTTCAGGATAGGTTGTGCTGGTGCTGGTATCATGCTTGGTGTCACCCCCGGTGGTGCTGGTGCTGTTTGCTGTGCTGGGGAGTGGACCTGGGCCTCCCCAGATAAGGCTGCCCTGCATCCAGCCCGAGAGAGCGTTGCAAGCTGTGTGCAGCTCTCCCGCGTCCTCCAGATAAGAGAGCAGAGGTGTGGAGGCCATCATGGGGCTGTCCATTTCCTGACAGTCTTTCCCAGTGAGGGCGAAGTGCATTGACGCAGTGACCAGTGGCTGCTGGCCAGGCGGGCCCACAGAACAACATAGGCACCGCCCATGGTGAAACTGCACTTGGCCCCTCAGAAGGAACGAAAGTGAGCCGTGTCCCCGCGGGTCGGGCCCTTGTGACCCAGCCCCAGGCACTCTAGCGTGAAACAGGGTGGGCAGGACAGCCGGTGAGCAGGGTCCCGGCCCTCGGGGACCACACCTGTGAGATCATGCTGTTCCCCTGAATGGCACCGCAGTGGGTACCTCGGGCAGCACTTACCCGGACACAGGGCTGGCGGAGGAGGGTTTGGGTGGTGGTGGGTCTGCAGGGCCCAAAGATGGCCGAGCACCCACCTGTCCTCAGGAACCTTTGGGTCCCACAGGTCACCGGGAGCTCTGCCCTCCTGCTCCGTGGAGCCGGCCCGCGCCCTGGGTGGCAGCTGCTGTCCACTACTGAACGGCTGCCTCTCTCCCAGACACCCCTGGGTGGTCGCAGATGATCAGGGGTGGGAGGGGCCAGCAGACGAGGTTGACCTGAGTCACAGCCCATGAGCCACCAGAAGGTATGAGTCAGTGGGGCCCGCTGGGCGAAGGCAGGAGGCCAGCGGGGCAGAGAGCAGCTCGGATGGGCTTGGGGCGCAGTCACACACACGCCCTGCGCCTGCTCCCCCTCGCCTTGGGAGTGGGGCCCCTCAGGGCCTGTGTGGTGGCCGCTGGCCGCTGGCCCCAGGCCTAGAGCTGACTCTAGGTCCCCCCTGCCCGCAGCTCCTCGCGCCTTGCTCAGAGCCCCCTGCTGACAAGTACATGGGACAGAGCAAGAGGGTCCCCGGGTGGGGGTCAGAAGGACACGGGCCCCAGCACCCCCCGAACCCCAATATCTGCAGGACCTGCCCAGTGCTGGGCATGCTGGGTGACATGGCCAGGAGCGGCATTACTGCTGCCCCCAGGGACCCCTCGACCTGCCACAACAGGTCCCCTGGCGTAGGGTCCCCCACTGGCCCCCCAACCCAGTGTCCCCGGCCCCATGTCCCCCAACCCAGTGTCCCCTGGCCCCGTGTCCCCCAACCCAGTGTCCCCTGGCCCCGTGTCCCCCAACCCAGTGTCCCCTGGCCCCGTGTCCCCCAACCCAGTGTCCCCTGGCCCCGTGTCCCTCAACCCAGTGTCCCCTGGCCCTGTGTCCCCCACCAGGTCCCGCCCCAGTGGTTTCCTGGAAAAGCCCCGAACCCAGTCCATGAGTAAGTGGCTTCTGCCCCCAGCTGCACCACCCCCCCATCCTAGCCCTTCCCTGGGCCGGCCCTGACCCTGGTACTTTGCCTCCCTGGTGGTGACATTGCAGGTAATAGTCTGTGACACGTGGACTTGGGGCTTCCACAGTTCCCGCCCAGCCCCCATGGTGGCAGTGTCCTCAGGTCACCCCTGCAGCCTCAGCTTCATTCTGGGAGTGGACAGAGGCTAGGGGCAGCATCCGGCCCACAGCGGAGGCTTGGGGAACGACAGCCAGGTGTTCGGACCCGGATGGATCCTAAGAGCCGGGATCCAGTTTTCTGGGGGCTGTTGCCACCCGCCAGGCTCCCCTCCATCGCAGTCTGGGTTTGGGCAGGGCATGGGGGTCCCAGTGCCCACCATCAAGGCATGCCTCATGGACAGGGCCGTAGAGGTGAGGCCCCTGCACCCTGCCTTTGGGTCCCGCCCAGCACTGCTCCCTGCAGGAGCTGGGGGGAAGCTCACGCGCCCCACCCCTATCCCGGAGGCCGCTGCCCGCTGTGGCTATAAATAGCCCTCGTGACCTTCTGAGGCCAGGAGGGCCAGGACCGCGTCCTTGCCTCCCCACTGGAGAGGACATTTGGAGGAAGGGGCTGCCCCTGTATCCCCACCGGGTCCCAGAGGCCACGTCTGTTCATGGGGCTGCTGCAGTCTCGGGAGGTTGACAGGGAGGTGGGCTTCCAAGAACGGGGTGCAGGCGTGGGGGGTCCCAGCGGAGCACTGGAGGCGGCCACTTGACTGGCGGGTCTCTAGCAGGCCTTGGTTCTGTCCAGAGGGGCACAGATGCTCCTGGGGTCCTCCACTGCCCACCCTGGGTCCCCCAGTCTCAGCCCCTGCTGTCCCTTCTCTGACCCCGTGGGGGCCCGCAGGGACAGGTCCTCCCTGAGTCACGCTGCACGTGGGCAGCTCGGGTGCCAGGTGGGGGTGGCCCCTGGCAGATGGGGACATTTAGGTCACGCATCTACTGGGGGGACAAGCACCTCTTGGTCCCCAGGGGCCTCAGCCCTGGCCTGGCTGCCTCCCGAGAGTGCGGCTCTGCGCCTGCCTGCCTGCTGCGCGTGGGCCTGGAGCCCCGAGAGCCCGGGACTCTGCTAGTGGGTCACAGCCCATGACCAGGGGTGACCATGGACGGGCTTGCCTGAGCTATGGGGGCCGCTGGCCGGAGTCCAGGCCCCGCTGTGGAGGTTTGGCTGGCGCCCACTTCAGGTCCTCAAGCAGGCAGGTGCCCCCATGCCTGAGCACCCCTGGGGCTGGAGGTGGGGTGAGAAAGGCCAGGCAGAGGGGTGTCCACTCAGCTGGCGCCCTGTGTCTCGGCTAGGAGACGGCTGTCCGCCCTCCCCCTGCCACCCTCGACACAGCCTGTCTGAGCCCCTGGTGCTGCTCATTGCCTGTAGGCAGGGGTCCCCATGTCTCTGGCACACCCCAGTGGCGGGCATGGGGGAGGCTGGGGTCAGGGCCCCAACCATCCACAGGCACCAAAGCCAAGGGGAATAGCCAGAGCCCCCAGTAGCATGGGGGCCCAGGGCGTGTTCCCGGGGCACTTCCTGGTAGCTGGGTTGCCAGGTCAGTGCCAGGTCCAAGATTGAGGTGCTGCTTGGGCCCCAGGCATAATGGAGCTTGAACCCGGTTCCAACACTCCTCTCCTGGCCCCAGGGCCTCACACATTACATCAAAGGTCCTGGCCAGGAGCCACCCATGGCCAGGAGTGACCGTCGACTGGCTTGCCTGACTCCTGACCCTGACCAGCCTCTCCTATAGCTCACCCACTCATCCCTGGGCATCCGGAGGGCACTAGGATGGAGCCCACGCTCCTGGCAGAGACCGGCGTTATGCCTCCCAGCTTGGCCCAGCTGCTTCGCTGAGTGCACAGACTATCTCGGGGTCCAGCTGTAGTTTCAACTCCCCAGAGACCCCTGCCTTGCCAGCCCACAGCTCTGCCCGGAGATGTCAGTGCCTTGTGTCTGTCACTGGCCCCATGGCCTGCCCACACCGCAGTCTGCAGCGCAGGGAGGGACAGCTGGGCAGGCCCTGACCCAGGCCAGGGCGGCAGGTTGGAGTGGCCGTTCCTGGAAGGCCCACGAGGCGGCCGTGGGGACGAGCTGCAGGCGGTGTGGCGACGGTTGGGGAGGCTTATTCCCAGACACACATCGATCGAACCACAAGGGCCTCGGAGCGTCGGAGCAGGGCTGGCGAGCTGTCGCAGCCTGGAAGTTGGCATGCCGGGCCGCTGCTGGAAAGTCCCTCTGCCGTGACCCAGGGCTCCCACAGGGTCCCAGGGGCAGGACCAGCGGGACAACAGTCAGCAGCTCAGACAGGCTGGAGCCCGAGGGTGGTGGGGGGTAGGTGCAGAGGTCACTCGCCTTGCACGTAGCCAAGGGTTTACCCCTGGCACCACCTTGGACCCCAGGTGCACCACCAGGTGTAACCCCAAAGCCCAAAACAAAACTCCTTGGTATGTCGAGGAAACGATTCATTCTTCCAGTAAAAGCTATGGCGCTGCTTCCTGTACCCGGTGGCCTATGTCGATGTGCCTGTCCTCACTCTGGAGTTTTCCATTTTCTGAGTGCCATTCTTTCCCCGAGCAGGCCTGCCCTTTCTGCCAACTGAGTCAAGCTCCCCCCTCGGCTTTACCCCACTTGCCCCAGCACCTCCGGGGGCGGCCCCCAGGGCCCAAGCACAGCCCTGAGCTCCCCTGGTGGTGGCCCCAGCTCCTGGTCAGGACCTGAGACGCCCCTCTGGAAGGGGCTGCGGCAGCCACAGTGCGGTGGCAGGGG